CACGCACGCAGGCACGCACACACAACACAACACAACACACCACAACACAACACAACACAACACAACACAACACAACACAACACAACACAACACAACACAACACAACACACACACACACACACACGCACGCCCGCGCCCGCGCGCGCGCGCACGCCACGCACGCACGCACGCACGCACGCAAGCACCGCAGCACGCACCCTGCGCGCGCCCGCCCGCCCGCCCCGCCCGCCGCACGCGCGCACGCACGCACGCGCGCGCGCGCGCCCGCACGCAAACCAGTCACGAACGCCACGACGCCGCAGACGCGCGCCACGCACGCACGCACGCACGCACGCACGCACGCACGACGCACGCACGCATACCACACACAAGCACGCCACGCACACACACACACACACCCACACACACACACGCACACACTGTCACACGAGCCACACACACGCACACACGCACGCACGCACGCACGCCGCACGCACGCACGACGCACGCACGCACGCAGCACGCACGCACGCACCGCGCGCTCGCACGCGCGCACGCGCGCACGCGCGCGCGAATGCGCGCGCGCGCACCGCACGCAGCACGCACGCACGCACGCGCGCACGCGCGCACGCGCGCACACGCGTACATGCGTACACGCGAACACGCGCACACGCGCCACGCGCACACGCGCACACGCGCACACGCGCACACGCGCTCACGCGCACACGCGCACACGCGCACACGCGCACACGCGCACACGCGCACACGCGCACACGCGCACACGCGCACACTCGCACACGCGCACAAGCGCACACGCGCACACGCGCACACGCGCACACGCGCACACGCGCACACGCGCACACGCGCACGCGCGCGCACGCGCACACGCGCACACGCGCACACGCGCACACGCGCACACGCGCACGCGCGCGCACGAGCACACGCGCGCACGCGCACACGCGCACACGCACACGCACACGCACACGCACAGCACACGCACACGCACACGCACACGCACACGCACACGCACACGCACACGCACACGCACACGCACACGCACACGCACACGCACACCCACACGCACACGCACACGCACGCGCACACGCACAGCACACGCACACGCACACGAAAGCGCCACACGGCACACGCACACGCACACGCACGCGCACGCGCACGCGCACTAGCAACACCCCACCGAGCCACGCACACGCACGCGCGCATGCACGCGCACACGCACGCGCACCACCGCACGCGACGCACGACGCGCACGCGTACGCAGCACGCGCCCGCGAGCACGCGCACGCGCGCGCAAACGCGCACGCCAGCGCACACGCACACGCACGCGCACGCGCGCACGCCACGCGCACGCGCACACACAGCACACGCACACGCACGCGCACGCGCGCACGCACACGCAACGCACACGCACACGCACACGCACGCACACGCACGCGCGCGCGCGCGCACACGCACACGCACACGGCACACGCACGCGCAAACGCACACGCACACGCGCACGCACACGCACACGCGCACGCACGCGCGCGCGCACGTGCACGTGCACGCGCGCGCGCGCACGCGCGCGCACACGCACACGCGCGCGCACACGCACGCGCACGCGCGCACGCACGCGCACACGCGCGCGCACGCGCACGCGCACACGCACGCGCACGCGCGCGCGCACACGCACACGCACACGCACGCGCACACGCACGCGCGCACGCACACGCACGCGCGCACGCACACGCACACGCGCACGCACGCGCACGCAACACGCACGACACACGCAAACACGCAAGCACACAAACACACAAACACACACACAAACACACAAACGCACAACACACACAATCACACAATCACACAATCACACAATCCCACAAACCCACAAACGCATTAACGCATTAACGCACAAACGCACAAACACACAAACGCACAAGTACACAAACACACAAACACACAAACGCACAAACACACAAAAACACAAACACACGCGACCTCACGACCACACAGACACACAAACACACAAACACACAAACACACAAACACACACACAAGTACACGAACACACAAACACACAAATACACAAACACACAAAACACACAACCACACAAACACACATACACACATACACACACACGCACACACAAACACACAAACACACAAACTCACAAACACGCAATCACACAAGCACACAGACCCGCAAACACGCACACACACACACACACCAACACACCAGCACACACAAACACACGCACACATACACGCATACACACGTGCGCACATACACACATACACACATACACACATGCACACATACGCACATACACACATACACGCATACACGCATAGACACACAGACACACCGACACACACACAGACACACAGACACATAGAGACACACAAACACACAGAGACACATATACACAGACCCACACATATAGACACAGACACACACAGACACACACAGACACACACAGACACACACAGACACACACAGACACCCACAGACACACACACGCAGACACACACAGACACACACAGACACACACAGACGCACACAGGCACACACACAGGCACACACACACAGGTCCACACGCAGGCCCACGCGCAGACACACATACACACAGAGACACCCACATGCACACCCACGCACAGACACACCCACAGACACACCCACACACACCCACGCACACCCACGCACACCCACGCACCCGCGCACCCACGCACACGCACACGCACACGCACGCACGCACGCACACGCACGCGCGCACGCACGCACGCCGCACCACGACACAACACAGCACAACGCAAAGACAACACACCACACCTCACCACACCACAACACAACACAACGCAACGCAACACAACACAACACAACGCAACATAACACAACCACACACACACCCACACACACCCACACACCCACACACACCCAACACACCCACGCATACCCACGCGCGCCCACGCACGCCCGCGCACCCGCGCGCGCACGCGCGCGCACGCGCACGCGCGCACACGCGCACGCGCGCGCGCACCCGCGCACCCGCGCGCGCACGCACACGCGCGCGCGCGCGCACACGCGCACGCGCGCACACGCGCACGCGCGCACACGCGCACACGCGCACACGTGCACACGCGCACACGCGCACGCGCGCACACGCACACGCGCGCACACGCGCACGCGCGCGCACGTGCACACGCGCACACGCGCACGCGCGCACGCGCGCACACGCACGCACGCACGCACGCGCGCACGCACACGCGCACACGCGCGCACACGCACACACGCACGCACACACATGCACACACGCACACGCGCACAAACGCACACGCGCACGCACGCACACACGCACACACGCACAAACACGCGCACACACACGCACGCACGCGCACGGACGCCCGCACGCACGCACGCACGCGCGCACGCACACACACGTAAAGTGATGAGAGAGATATCCGAGTAAGTGAGACCCAGAACCAAGGATCGACCAAGAGACTGTTTTCACTGTCGCAACATCCCCGTTCGGTGAGGCCCGACCTGACCTACTGCAGTATGCACCGTGCTCGACGGTTTGAGCGCCTGTGGCCTAAACCAGGCTGAGCCACCACAGCTACAATCAGAGACATAGATTACTTACATAACTATGTTACAGCATGTAGCTCCCCAGAAGTATTGAAAATACAGGCTTCAGAGTTGTGTCATTTGCGCGACTCCGGCCCCCGCGAACCCAGAGAGCACCACTGGAATCACACACGTGCTGTCTATGTTTTCTTCTGCTTGCCGGCCCAGGGACAAAACTTAAAGTGCGCGAGGCTGCGCGCGACGACTGCAAGCGACACAAGCTGACACAAGTTTGCCTCAGCGCGCGCGCGAGCAGCATCAAGCGCATACCAACCACCACGCGCACACAGCCCACCCAGAAAAGACCGCGAGGCAGATAAGATGTCTCATGCCCTGAGGGCCTTCATCACGTTCTACACTTGCCTCGGGCTGGGTTGGGGCCGGCGCGGATCACTGGTATCGGCGGCGCAGAAATCTGAAACCCATGAGGAGGAGTGGGACAGAGGCCATGGTGGAGGACTCCCCCGCCTTGGGCATCGGCGGTTCCTGGAACCCCTCGAATTCGAAGGCGGGGATCTCTTCGGCGGTCGGGCCGCTAATGACTAACCGCTGCAAGGCCCGCGCAGCAACGCCCCAAACTCCTGTGGTCACGAGCGACAGTAAGAGGGAGGGCAGGGTGCGAGAGAGGTTAAACAGAAGATCTCCAAATGCAAGGCGCGTCTCATGCATTGCAAAGCACATCTGGGCAAAGAAGAACAGCGTGCTCACAACTACACATGCCTGAAAGCAGAACTGGAACGACGGGAGACGGGTACCCTGGGGCACATCCTGGCGGGCAGCGGCGCTACGGATCCGAGATCCACTAGGTGGGTCAGCTGATGTAGTCGGACTGCCGCTGCCGGAGACCACTCAGTTCGGGGGCGGCGCCTCCTGGAGCACATCCTCCACCACATGGCCGTCGCTGGACAATTGCTGGTACAATATCGTGCCAGCCGTCTCCATCGTGAGGTCCCGAACCATATCCGCCGATGCACCCAGGCGTTGGAGCTTCTCAGACCACTGGGCAACAGACTTAAGCCTGCCCGCACGGCTCCACCAAGCCCCGTAGTTGAGCGGACAGTCGTTTTTCAGTTCCGCCGCCTCGCGACGGGCGATCGTAATGCCAATGTGCGGTAGGACACGGTCGTGCAAATCGGCATCAATCGTGGCTTCCATGATTGGCCCTGGGTGCGCCGCAGCGGCCCCGGCAGCCGGAGGGCGCGCGGGTCCACCTCCACGCGAACGCTGCTCTTGGAGAAATTCACGCATCATGTTGCTGACGGCCTGGACGTCGGAGCTCATGTTGGAAGTCGTGTTGTCGATGCGCGCGATCGTGCGCTGTTGCTCCGTCTGGGTGTCGCTGAGGCTCTGCGCTTGACGGCGCAGCTGTTGGGGCGCGGGGGAGGCCTCCACATTGTCCACCTCGCTGGTGGCACACCGAGGCTGCCGCGGGTCAGGTCCGACGAAGTCCTGGAGCCTGCGGATCGTTGTGGTCAAGCGTGAGTCGCCCTCCCTGTTCCGCTGCTGCTCGTCGCGCTGCACGTCCGAGAGCATGCCCGTGAGGGCCTCGGCCACCTCGCGCGTGCCCACCTGAGGGGCCGGAGCAGCCGCCGGAGATGGCTGAGGCTGCTGGCCTCCGCTCTGCGGGAGCGACCCGCCCTGGTGGAGGCGGGAGAGCGCCGTGCCGATCTCTGCCATCTGGCCCAGCGCCGCCAGGCTCCCCATCATGTCGTTGAACTGGTTCGTGATGGAGGCGAAGCCTCCGAAGCCACCACCTCCGGAGGGCGGCTGGTGCGGCTGGCATGGGGCACGCGGCTGCCAACCCCCCTTGCCGCGGCCACCCTTGCCGCCCTGCTGCCAGCCCCCGTGTTGGTAGCCGTTGCCGCCCATCGCTGGGAGAGGCGCGACGCTGGTCGTGCGAGCTGGATCGAAACCGGCTGGTTGAGGGCTGGCGGCACGTTCGACCAACTTCTGAGCCTCAACGCAATGATCGTGGTAAGAGCCAAGATGGCACACACGAGGGCGAATGAGTTCTGGACAAGCGAGGGGTAGAAGACGAAGTAAGAGAGATACCATATCTTTACGCGGTGAGGGCGGAAATAACCCAATCCAGAGCTTGTATAAGAAACGATAAGGATAGTGCAAGTGTAGATACACCATCATGTCTGTTAGCATCAAATAGGCCAGAATGCTATTAGGTACACCTATCTGCTCCCATCTACAAACACGTGCGCGGAGTTCGGCCCGATGTGCCCGAAGTACGCGAGGATCTTGCGAGTGTGTGTAAGGGGGTATGCTCTTCTTAACCAAGTGTGCTGGGTTTCCGCTCCATGCGAATCGCTCGTTTTTTTATGAACGGGATTTAGACGAAGAGCTTGAAAACGAAAGTGAAGTTCAACATCGAGGAACTTTTGGATGATAGTGCCATCGGGGAGCGTACTAAAATCCTCATCCACCTTAAAGAAAACGACGCCCTGATATATCTGTGGTAATTTCCGCTTCAGACAGCACCGACACAACACATACGATAAGCACACAAGATCATCCACGTAACGACCGCAGGCCATTTGGGATACACGATTTGGGTTCTTGTGGTCGTATTGCGTTTCCTTGTCACTAAGAACGACGTTCAAAATGCCTCCAGAGAGGGGGGCCCCAATGGGGATGCCCCGTGTCTGCTCAACGAATATGCCCCCGAGACGATAAAACCGCATTCCAAGGAAACCGATAATACTTCTTCGGACCGACGTGAAGGAGAATACAACCCGGTCGTAATATGGAACCTCAAAATTGCCTCCCCAGACCGTTCGATGTCCCTGCCCAAGCTCAATTACAGTCAAAGTTTTATGCTTGGTGAAAAGGCTGATCCGCTGGAAAACCCTGTCCACCGCTTCATAGATTGACTCCGTGGCCAGCAGATCTTCGTAAGCCTGGCCAGCGTCAGCAACGACAAGGGAGGGGTGGTACATGGGACCACCGCACTCGCAGCACTGGTAGGCCTGTTGGGACTCAGACCAGATAGGCGGCTGCAAGTTACGAGCTCTATCTTGTAGACGACCGAGGGCCGACTTCATGTCCTGGAGGCTCCATCCTGGAGAGACGTAGTTAACTATGTACTGGAGTCCCCGACCAATTTGGCGATATATCTTGCGCCCAGGAAGCTTGCATAATGAGACTATGTTTCTGAAGCAGCTGTGGTTGGGGTCGGGGCATCGGTGAGTTCCATTTGCTTCCCAACATTTTGCCTTTACTGTCGGGTAAATATATGGTAAGTTTTTGGCACTCATCCTGGATTTTCCCTTGAATAGCGGTTTGGGCACAGTAAAGTCCAATAGCATACGGTACCACTGTAGCACATACGACACACCCACTAGCCGAAGACGCCATCTATGAGGGACGCGAGATAATAGAAACAACCACCTCAAGACGAGAAGCCGAGGGCTCGCGATCCAGAGCGTGTTAGGGTCTTTGTCTTCAACGCACACAACCACGCTCGTGCGAGCCTCCCGGAACGACGCATTCATGTCCGAAGTGCACGTGGCAAATCTTTCAGCTGAAGAGGAAGGGTGACAGCCTGAGGCAGGAATCGAGCAAGGTAAGGAGTCCATGAAATGCTTTGGAATGCCAGCTTGCGCCAACCACCCAAGACAACGCTGTCGTGTTCCACGCCGCTGCTCGTTCAGCGTCGGTTGCACCGGCGTGCGACCGTGTACAGGAAGGCGACTGAAATCCCCACCGGCCACCATCGCTGCCAGGATATCAGGATCTATTTCGAGAAGATCAGCCTCCTTGACTGTTTGGAGATAGCGCTGCGTGTTAACGATATGCTTTTTCAAGGGGTTGGGAGTAGCGACATCCAAGTGCAACGTAGACCTTACCAGCGACACCCAATGGGGGCGATCTCGGCCGTACAACGCGAGGACCTCACTAATCCACCTTCGTGCACACTGTCGCCAATGCCGGTTGGCCACAAGAAGATGGGTAGGACGAGGAACTGGGCTCCCCACGCGTGCCGCCAGGTGTGCTATATACGCTCGTGCTCGAATGCGCTCTTGGTAGTGAGGAAGCAGTGTGCAGGCAGACCATGCAATATGAAGAAAATCGACAGAATGTGCGCGTAATGCACGTGCTCGTTCCCAATTGATATCCTGGGCCCTCACGGCAAGCTGTTTAATAAGTAAGGGAAAAACGCCAACCATATGTATATCTATGGGCCCAAACGTGCGTGAAAGCTGAAAGTGCCTATCGAGATAGTGTGCATATACAGCATGAAGGGTACCGCGAAGAACATTTTGCGTAGCACTACGTCGAGTGAGAAATGCGTGTCGACGAACATACTTAGTGCACATAATTTCCAACGTGCGTTGCTGCCATACGTCATCTGAATCTCTAGCGTGCTCGAGTGCTTGCTGCTGGGATCTACCAAATCGTCCGTTTCGTCGTCGGCGACGCACACACGCAAACACACACGCGCACCCGCACGCACGCACGCGCGCACGCACACACACAAACACACACAAACACACACACACACGCACAACCACACACGCACACGCACACGCACACGCACACGCACACGCACACGCACACGCACGCGCACACGCGCACGCACGCGCACACGCGCGCACGCACGCGCGCGCGCACACGCACACGCACACGCACACGCACACGCACGCGCACACGCACTCCCCCTTGCGCACGCACACGCGCACGCACACTCACACGAACACGCACTCGCACCGCGCACAAGCACACGCGCACTCACGCGCACACGCACACGCACACGCACACACGCACACACGCACACGCACACGCACACGCACGCACACGCACACGCACACACACGCACGCACGCACACGCACACACGCACACGCACACGCACGCGCACACGCACACGCCACGCACACACACACGCACACGCACACGCACAAGCACACGCACACGCACGCACACCGCACACGCACACGCAGACGCACACGCACACGCACGCGCACACGCACACGCACACGCGCACGCACACGCGCACCACACGCGCACACGCACACGCACGCGCACGCGCACACGCACCCGCACACGCACACGCACACGCACACGTGCACGCGCACGCGCACACGCACACGCACACGCAGACGCACACGCACTTGCAGTCGCACACGCACGCGCACACGCACACGCACACGCACACGCACGCGCACACACACACGCACACGCACACGCACACGCACACGCACACGCACACGCACACGCACGCGCACACGCACACGCACGCGCACGCGCACACGCACACGCGCACAATCACACAAACACGCACACACACGCACGCGCACGCACACGCACGCACGCCCACGCACGCCCACGCGCACACACACGCACACACACACGCACACACGCACACACACAAACGCACGCACACACTCACCTACACACCTTCACAGCCACACAGCCACACAGCCACACACCCACACACCCACACACCCACACACCCACACACCCACACACCTACACACCCACACGCCCACACACCCGCTCACCCACAAACCCACACACCCACGCACCCACGCACCCACACACCCACACACCCACACACCCACACGCACACACACCCACACACCCGCGCCCGCGCCCGCGCCCGCGCACACGTACACGCACACGCACACGCACACGCACACGCACACGCACACGCACACGCGCAGACGCACGCGCACGCGCACGCGCACGCACACGCACGCGCACGCGCACGCACGCACACGCACGCGCACGCGCACACGCACACACGCACACGCACACGCACACGCACACGCACACACAACCGCACACCCACGCACACACACAAACACACACACACACGCACACGCACACCCCATCACACACGCACCCACACACACCCGCACACCCACACACACACACCCACATACACCCACACACACACTCACACACACCCACACACCCACACACCCACACACCCACACACCCACACACCCACACACACCCACAAACCCATACACCCACACACCCACACCCATACACCCACACACCCACACACCCACACACTCACTCACCCTCACACCCCCGCACGCACACACGCACACACGCACACGCACACGCGCACGCACACGCACAAGCACACGCACACGCACACGCACACGCACACGCACACACATAACCACACACACACAACCACACACACACACATACACACGCACGCGCGCACACACACACACACGCACAGCACGCACAGCGCGCACGCACGCACGCACGCACGCACGCACGGTCGCACGCACGCACGCACGCACGCACGCTGGCTGTACACACGTACACACGTACACACGTACACACGTATACACATGTACACACGTACACACGTACACACATTCCGCTGCAAGCGCGGTGGCGGATACGTCGGTATTGGGAACGAGGTCCACCGTGTCGCGAGACTGGGCTACAACCTGGGCGACACCTACGCCTTCCTCGGGGGCCTGCTGCCCGAGGTGCGCTCGTCTCTCGACAGCTTGTGGGCCCCCCAAACCAGCGCGTTCTCGCGCGCTTCTGCTGTGCATTCTGCACGCTGCGCCACGTGCGTTGTAGTCTTCGTCTCGGTATCGCTCGGACGTGTGCGTTTTCTTTGTTTTTTTGTTTTTTTCTTCGGCGAGGACCATCGAGGAGCATCCTGGATCATCGGGCAAAACACCCACGAAACCGAAACATGCGCGGGGAATGGACGTTGTTGCTCGGCGGCGAGCGAGGGGGGAAGTGAGAAGGGGCGGGCCTCATCAGAAGGTTCGGAAGAGCCCCGGCCTTTTGAGAAGCTTTCTAAGCCGTCCCCGAGGACACAGAAAACCTCCCTGAAGGCTGTAGGCCTTCTGAGAAGCCCCGCCGCCTTCTGAGAAGGCCTTTTCCTTCTCAATCCCCCCCTCGCTCGCCGCCGGTACAAACTGCAGCACGTGCGTTGCAATATTTGCGGAATCTATGCGGTGCAGCTCACCGTCGCGCAACGTTTGCGTTTGACCAGCTGCCGCGCTCGCACAAACGTTCCACACACACGCAACTGTTTTGGAACAGCTCATTTGGCCATGATCTGCACGAACACGCGGGCGCGAGGAACTCACCCGCGCAGACGAGTTCGTCCTCCAGGTCGCGAAATGCTGGTGGCAATGGCGATGAGCGCGACGCCAACGACGATGACTATTACAGTGGTAATGACGCAGATTCCGATGACGATGACAGTAGATATGGGGGCGATACGATGTCGACGACGACGCTGGTGGTGATGAAGATGATGGTGATGAGCATGACGGTGGCCACGATGACGCTGGCGATGGTGATAACGATGGTGCTGGTGATGATGATGAGGAAATACCCGCGCGCAAAAAATTGACGAGGGAAACATATTCAACGAGGACAGTGGTGACGAAGATCCCGGCTATGGTGATGGTCCCTGTTTACTGGTAAATGCAGAACAGGATCAGAGAATGGCCGCGATCCGTGTCCATTTTAGCTCGAGAGTTTGTGCTGAAATTCTGGCTACCCTCGGCAGTCCGCGGTGGATGCAGGCGGGGCTGGTGGAGTTCCTCGCGCAGGAGGCGCTGCGCTGGGCGGGGCTGTCGGTGTTCCACGCGAGCCGCTGCCCTTTGGTGCCCGCTTGCCATGCGGCACCTCCCTTCCCTGAGCTGCCGCCCTGCCCAGTGTGCCCCGGGGCGCCACCGACGCCCAGGCGCGGAGGCGCCGGGGAGGCAGCGGCCCAGGGGGCCTTGGCGGGCTTCGGGGTGGGGCTGCTGTGCTGTGGGCTGTCAGCCTGGGCCTTCGGCTACTGCCCGCAGAGGCGGGGATCGGTGACGGAGGCCCACCGCCGCGGCGAGGCGGATGGCGGAAGCACGGCCCGTGGTGCCGCTCCAGGTGGAAGAGATCTCGAGTGGGCCTTCGTTCTCTACGCGGTGCCGGGACCACTGGTGTGCCACCGGCGCCGGGTGGTCGGATGCCGGCGCTCGGCGTGCTTGGCGACCGAGCTCGGCGTTTTGATCATCGGCGCGCCGGACCTGGACGTGTACGAGGGCGACTACCGCCCGAGCTCGCTCGGCACCGACATTGCGCAGGTGGTGTTCTCAACCGCGCGCTGGCCGCCGCCTGCTGGCGTCCCGCGGGCCCAGGTTTATCGCTTCCGCGATGACCTCACGGGACTGGAGCTCGCGGCGATGCAGGGCGCCGCTCGGGTGGAGGCGAGCCGCCTGTGCATGGTCGGTGGACGGCCAGGCCGCCGGCGGCGCCGGGGCGCCCGTGCCCGCTGACGTCTTCGTCGTGCCGCTGCCCGACGTCGCCGGGGTGCTGGCCGCTGGGGATCCCGCTGCCGCGGTCGGAGGTCCCCCCGCGGTGCCTGGTGGTGCGGCGCCGCCTGGGGTCGCGCCGCTGCCGATCGCGGGTGCGGGCCCTCCCGCGGTGACGGGCGCGGCGGTGGCGAGGCCCGCCAGGCCCCTCGCCGCGGCCGCGCCTGCCGCCCCGCCGCGAGAGGCGCCCGCGGCGGGCGCGCCTCCTGGGGCGGTTCGGCGTGACCCCGCTATCCCCGATGGGCTGCCCATCGTCGTGCCGCCGTCGGGTGGGGCGCCGCTGGGCTGGAGCTGGCGCGCGCTGGAGGACCTCGACGGGCTCGTGGCGTACGGGGACGTGCTGGACGTGGGTGCCGGTGGCGGGCCGGCGTTGGCTGGCGGGCCGGGCTGTCGACAGGTGGTGATGCTGCCTAGCGGTCGCGCCTCCTTCGCCGCGCTGGTGGCCGACCCCGAGGTCGCCCCGCTCAATAGGGAGTTCAGAGGCAGCGACGTTCGCACCTTGCTGGCGATGCGCACCGCTGTGGGCCGCGAGAGATCGCGGGCTTCAGTGGTCGCCGAGTGCACGGAGGAGCTGAATGATTCCAGACATTGGGGCGAGGCCATCTCGGTCGGCCAAGTGGTGCGCGGCCTGCCGGTAGACGGACGGAGGCCCAGCCCTGCAATCGGAGATGTGGAAGGCTCGCCGACGCTTGCAGGACTCCGACTTCTGGGTGAGCCAGCGCGAGACGCTCAGCAAGATAGTGGAGACCTTCGGGACGGTGGATCAACTCGACGTCTACAACTTGGCGGGGGTGGAGATGGCACGCCGGAAGCTCCAGATGAGCGAGTATTATGGGGACGAGCGGAGGCAAGAACGGTAACGGGCGAACTCGAAGCTGCAGCTGGACGAGGTGCAGGCGTTCCTCGGAGACGGCAGGGCGCCCGGCCCGCCCGGCATGGCGTGCCCAGACTTGCTGGATCAGGTGGCGAAGGAGCTGGAGAGGGTTGCAGGCATCGAGCAGACTGCGAGGGAGCTTCGGGAGGAGCAGGCCGCTGTGGCGAAGGAGGCGGGTGCCCCCCCGCGAAGGGGCGATAAGAAGCCGGACTCTGTGCGCCGACGCCTTTTCCGGCCCCGCACTGAAGCTCGCGCGGGAAAGCGGATCCTGGTGCATGCGGGATTCTGGCGTGTACATTCCATGTTGTTTCCCCAGGAAAACGGGGGAACAAGTATGCGCCGCGCCGCCCCGACGACGTCGTCCTTGACCCTCCAAAAGTCATGGGGTTGAGAAATGGCCGGCCACTGGTCATTACAGCATGTGCTCTAGTAGTTTCCGAGATGATGCAGCTCGCGCCGCCTCCCCCGCCCAGGTGGCCTACGTGATCGGGGGGGGGTGGCGGGCGAGCTGGGCCGCAATCGGTCGCTGCTGCCGCTGCCGGCCTGGTGCGCGGCGCCCGATGGGCGGCCCTCGGGGCGCCGTGGGCGCGCGCGCGCGCTGCCGGGCGGGCCCGCCAGGCGGGCCTTCTGCGCGAACTGGCGCAGGCGCTGAACCAGAAGGGCGCCGCGGAGGATGAGCTGCATGGGCGTCCGCTGGATAGGCCGTGCCGGCGAGAGATGGCGCCGGGGCACCTGTCCGACTGCCGCGCGAAGTTCGGCGGCCCGCCGCCTGACTTGGCGGCTGGCGCGGCCCCCCGGGAGCTGCGGGCCAGTTCGGCTTATGGGGCTGAGGGGCCTCAGACGCTGGCCCTCTCGAGTTCTGACCTCGTCTCAATGCCGAAGTCGGGCGCGCGGCCGCGCCCGCTGGGGCAGCCGCCTGGGCGGGATGGCCCGCGTCTGCTCGATGTTTTTCCCGGCGTCGAGGTTTTGCGAAGTCGAGATGCTGGGGGGCGGGCGGCGGAGGCGCAGTTCTCGAGGTCGCGTCTCGATCCAGCCCTTCGCGCGCCATCGTCGCGGGGGCAGCTCGTTCGCAGGATGCTGGAGGCTGGCGCGCTCGATCTGGCGCCAGACTCGGTCGAGGCACGTGGAGATGTTGGCGCGTTCGCGGCGCGGAAAAAGACGGGGGACAGCGTCCTGTGGTGGATTGCAGAGCCAGCATGTCTCATCTTGAGGGTCCCGAGCACGCGGCGCTCGCGTCGGGCGCCAGTTTGTCTGCGATCGAGCATCTCGAAGGGGGGGGGGGGGGGGCCTGTGGGTCTCGTGAGTCGATGCCTGCGATGCTTTTTACCATATGGGGCTCCTTCGTGGTTTCCTTCCCTTTTTCTCGCCCCCTTGCGCGAGGGCCGAGGGCGCCGGGGCCTCGACTATAGAGGGGCGGACAATTGGGCCGCGGGAGTGGCTGAGATTTCGCCTCGCAGTGCTCCCGATTGGGCGGTCTCATGCCTTGGCTTTTTGTCGGCGCGTGCGCGAGGGCGCGCCGGGGGGGCGCGCGGGGTTCGGCGGCGTCGATCGACTGGTCGACGGTCGAATCGCCCCCCCAGTATCGCGCGGCGTGCGTTTGCAGCGAGTCGACAATTCCTTTGGCTTGGCCACCTCCGCCGAGAGAGCCAGCGAGCTCCGCTCTTTGGCGACGGGGCCGCTGACCGCAGCTGGGCCCCCCCTTCATGGGCCCGACGTGGCCTGTCGGCCCCGTGAGAGTCCGGGGTGGGTCTTCGCGGGGGGGTCAGGGGCGGCGCGGCCCAGGGCTCGGAGGCTCTGGCGTCTGAGGATAGGCGCCCTGGCGCGCCTGGGCAGGGGTTCGGCTTCGGGCCGCCGGATCAGTGCGATTGTAAGTCATGTCGCTTGCGCGGGCCTGGCCCGCGGGCAGTTCTTGTCAGTTTCCGATGCGGCGTGCCGGTTCTCAACCGTGCATCGTGATGTCTGTCGGCCGCTGTCGGAAGGAGTTCGGCGCGAGCTCCGCTGGGCTGTCAGTCTCTTGCCGCTGCTTTGGGCCGATCTTAGGGCCGAGTGGAGCGCGAGGGCGCGCGCTGCCGATGCGAGCGAGCAGGGCCGCGGCGCTGCGCAGAGGGAGGTCTCGACCGAGAGGGTGCCAGAGATGGGGCGCGAAAGTGATCGCTGGAGGTTTCGATCCCAGGATGCCCGAGAAGGGCCAGTGCGTCCTCGCGATTGTCTTGGTGGCGAAGATCCAGCCGATGGCAGCGCGCCCCCGGGTGTCCAGGAGGCGCCCCAGGATATCCTCAATGGGGGCTGGCAGGTGGTATCTAGCGGGGGGTGGGCCCCGCCGGAGCATGTCGCGGTCCTTGATCCGAGCGCAGTATATGACTGCCACCGCCAAGTTCGAAAATAATATACGATGCGATTTGGTGCAGCTTTGTTCTGGTGAATCGCCCGCAGTACCTTTCCCGCCGCCAGCGGCAAACGGGCTGCGCCCTGTCTCTCGATCAAGGACCGAAGCAGCATTCATCAAACCACGCGCTGTGGTGGTGTATACAATTTTGGTTGCCAAGAGGAGCGATCTTTATACGCCGCCATCAAGAAGTGCTGTTTCTGCTCCAGGAACTCCCCATGCCGCGGCGCCTGCGAGCTGCGCCGCGCTCTCTTTCGCCGTGGCGTCGCGGCGTCGTCTGGCATGACCCTGCCCCCAACCTTTTTTGCGGTAAGTTACTGTTGCGGGCGGTGGTGGTGTATAAAAATTGGCCTCGCACGTGAGGGTCGAGCACTCGTTCGTGCCATTCGTCGCGCACTCCGAGATGCGCGGGAATTCGGGAAGCGGGTCCTCTTCCTCTCGGATAACCTCTCGTCGGTTCTGGCCCTGAGAAAGGGCCGCTTGTCGCCTCGCGGCTGCTCCGAGTCTCGCGGCAGTGGGCGGCGCGGCGCCTCGTCGGGCGCGTGGCGCCGGCGCTGCGCTGGCATCCGTCGGGGCATGACCCGGCGGGTGCCCCCTCGCGGAGGCGCGCCCCGATCGGGGTCTGGCTGGGCTTCTGCTGCGACGCCGAGGCTGGCGAGATCAGCCGCTGGCCTGGGCGTGGCGGAGGCGACGACAGCCGTCGCCGCGTCTTCCGGCAGGTCGTCGCCGAGGTCGCGGAGCTCGACGCCGGGCGCTGCCCCGTCGCAGGTCATGCCGCGCGGCGGCGCCGCCCCCCCGCGGGCCTCGCGGAGCGGAGGGCCGCCTGCGAAGCGGTGGGGGCTCGGCGCAGACGCCTGCGCGGAGGCGCGGCCCCTGCCCGAGCGCGCCGGGCGACGGGCCCGCGCTCGGAGGCGGCAGGCCGCGGGGGCTACGCGAGCAGCGCGCGGGGCAGGGGGCAGCGGTGTGGCGGGGCAGCGCGCGGGGGGCCGACGCCGAGCAGGCGCGCCGCCGCGAGGCGGCGGGGGCGACGCTGACAGGGCTCCTCGACGATTGGCTGGCACTGTGGATGGGCGCCGAGTACCTCGGCGGCGAGCCCGCGCACTCGGGGCCCCTCTCGCTGGCGGTGGCGAAGTTCTACCTGCCCGAGTTCGGCCGCGGGGGCGGATGCGAGCTCCCGAGGGTAGTTCGGGCGCTGCGCGGCTGGGGGCGCCTCCCGCTGCCTTGGGGGGTCGTGGCGCCGCTGGCCGGGCAGCTGGCGCGGAGCGACTTCCGGGCTTCAGCAGTGCTCGTGCTCCTCGCGTTCCATTGCTGACTGCGGCCCGCCGAGGGCTTCGGGCTGACGCGCGAGACGGTCGCGCCGCCGATGCCGAGGAGTCGTTGCCAGGACTGGTCGTTGGTGTAGCGCCCCTTCGAGGCCACTGTGGCCAGCAAGACGCATCAGTTCGACGAGTCCGCGGCGGTGCAAGGCCGACTTCAAGGCGCTGCTGGGCCCGGCGCTGCGATGGTCGCGGCAGGCGACGCCGCCGGGCCAGGTCCTGTTTGCCTTCGGCCAGGGTCAGCTGGTGGAGCGTTTTCGAGACGCGGCCGAACAGAGCGGGGTCGGGGCACTGAAGCCAGAGTTGTACATGCCGCGCCACTGCGGTCCCGCATTCGACGGGGCCACGCAGCAGAGGACGCTGCGCGAGATCAAGCTGCGGGGGCGGTGGACGTCGGGCGCTTCGGTGCAGAGGCGTCGAAAGGAGGGCAGAGTGGCAGAGCAGCTGCGCGGGCTACCCGCAGATGTCCGAGCACGCGCTCTGGCCTCGGTGACAGAGTTGGGCTCGCCCCTCGCGAGGCCTTCGAGCGCCTCGTTCCCCCCGGGCGTTCAGGGGGCGTGCGACCGCGGATCTTTCTAGGGATCTTCAGCGGCTGTGGCCGCCTGGCGGCGGCGCTGCGCGAGCTGGGCTGCCTGGTGCTGGAATGGGGCGCGTTGCGAGGGCCTGGCTGGGATCTGATGCTCCGCTCGAACCAGCGGCTGATCCGCGGCTGGGTCGCGGGCGGCCGGGTCTGGGGCCCGCGCGCGGCGACGCCGCGCAGTGCCCGGCCCAGGGCTCGGGGCAGAGGCCCAATCAGAGACCCGGCCCGCCCTCGGCCAGGTCCACCGTCCAGACTCCGCAGCGACGCAGCGACGCCGATTTGTTTGGTCTGGCTGGCCTCTTGCACCCCGATGGCAAGAAAACGGTGTGGATCGGAGATGAGTTGGCGCGTTTCAGTATCCGCTTGCTCGAACAGATGAAGCGCCGACACTTGCCTGCGACTTCGGAGAATCCCGCGTCGCCCCGCATTCGTTTGCCGCCCTGTTTGCAGATGGCCCGGGCGTGGCAAGGGGCATCGGTTTCCGACGCTTGTATTTGCGCGTTCGGAGAGAAATGGAAGATGCCGATCCGTTTCCTGGGCGATCGCATCGACCTCGCGGATGTGGAGAGACGTTGCTCAGATAGGCTCTGTCGGGTCCAGCGGCGGCGCCCCGTGCCGCCGCAGAGATCTCGTGAACAAATGGATGGGGCCCCTTGCTCTCCCGGAGGCTCCGGGGCCCCCTCTTGAGATCTCGATAGTTGTCTCTCCGCCTTGGCCGCGGGATGATGCGTATAGGCGTGGTTCCTGTTTGCTGGTAAATGCAGAACAGCAGCAGAGAGTGGCCGCGATCCGCGCCCGTTTTAGCTCGAGTGCTTATGCCCCCAATCCACCCTCCCTGGGAGTTTCGTCGTGCCCCTCTTGGGCCTCGCAAGGCTTCATGTGAAATTCAGTGGTGGCCTCTGTCGGGTCCAGCGGCGCGCTAGCTTTGAACCTCGGCGGCGCCCCGTGCCGCCACAGAGACCTCGTGAAAAATGGATGGGGCCCCTTGCTCTCCCGGAGGCTCCGGGGCCTTCTCTTGAGATCTCGATAGTTGTCTCTCCGCCTTGGCCCCGGGATGATGCGTGTAGGCATGGCGATGCTGATGGCTCTGGCAATGTACGCTGACGATGATGACAACGATTGTCCTGATGAGTATGAGAAGGCGCCCTCCTGCAGAAATCCACGCGCCGCGTCATGTTTTGAAAAATATATAGGGGTTCGCGTGCTTTTGACCGCACTTGTGCTGAGATGGTCAGGAAACCCGCGGTGGTGGACGGACTTTGACGCGTGCGCGCGGAGACGCGCGCGCGCGTGGCCCGCGTGGTATTGTTTGACAGAGTTGGTGTGTGCTCGATGGTGTTTGGACCATCCACGCTCAGTGCAGCTTGCAGCTCACTTGAGGCGCCGCTTCGGCAGCTTAGGCAGTCTAGGTGCGCGGCTCTAGTTTGCTCCTGCTGTCAATTAGTAGGCCCGCGCCCCGGACTTACGACTCGCCGCTTGCGCTCTCGCCTGCGGCCGCGACCAAAAATGTTGCTTGGGCGTTTCTTCGGCACGCGCGCGCAAGTGGCCCGCGTGCCCTTGGTTTGGCCAGGAGGGCTGGGCACCAATTCGTTTTCCTTGAGATTTGAGCGAGCGTGCGCGCAGAAATTTCGGGCACTTGTTCTGTTCAGGGGCCACAGCCATTCGTAGTGTCTGGCTGGCCATATCTTGAAATTCTAGATTCTTCGCGTAACCCCACCAGTCCATTCAGCAACGATGCCCAGGCGAGTTGCCCTGATCAGGGATGTGGAGGAGCGTGCAGTGAAATAAAAAACTGGGGCGCCGTCGTACCCCGTGTTGGGGAGGATCGAGGAGGAGTCGGATGATGATTTCGAGGAGGAGGACCAGTGCAAACCCAAGACTCATCAACGATGTTTGCATATATCTCCAAGGCCCCGTTGGCAGACAACCTTGTTGAAGATCTTGAAGCGCGCCGAAACACCATTCTCATGACGTCAACGCCGCGAGTCAACCTGACTGTTGCGTTTTGGCGGTCCTGAATCGTGCCAGAACGCCATTCCTGGGACCTCACATCCGCGCTGCGCCCTGACAGTTCTGAACCGCTCTAAAACATACTTTCTGGCACGCTAACCATGAAATGTGAGAACGGAAAACACGGTTTGGGTCGAGCCTTGCCCCAGCCCGTTGCACCCGTGATTGTTGCTCCCCTCTCCCGTGCCCCCCCATCACGCACGCCACGAAGAGCAGTCGACATGTAAGTCTGAGGTCGCCACGCCGCCCACTTTGCATTTTTTATCTTCCGACCAAAATTCGCACGTGTGGGACGAGTCATGGTTTTTGGGGCCTCTCTCTTCTTCTTCTTCTTTTTCTTTTTCTTCTTCGGGACGAAAGCAATTCATAACAACAAGCAACAAGGTGACTGGAGAGCGCGAGGCGATGGAGGGCTACTTCTGCCCGAGGTTCCTCCCCCCGCTCGAAAGCGGCGAGAGTCCGCTCGACGGATGGAGCCGGTTCCCGTTTCGGTATCTCGAAGAAGAAAAACATACATACACAAAAACGTTCGGAGCTCCGCGCGGATTTCGCCGATCGACGCTGGGCCCCCCTGGCGGTGCCTCCGACGCCGCCCCTGGCGCGCCCCGCGCGCCAGGGATGGGGGACCCAGCTCCGATCCAAGAAATCCGCGCAGAGTTTCGAACGTTCATGTCTATGTATTTGTTTCGTCCTCCAGTATCGGCTGAAGGCGCGGCTCTCGTTCTCGGGCAAGCTGATGGGGTACGCCGCGACGGGGAGCATGAACTCCACGCTCGCGGGTGCTCTAATGGAGTTCTTCCAGTACCACGCCCCCCACGACCCAAAGGGGGAGGTCTTCCCAGAGCAGCTCTACGACGCAGTCCCCAACGTCGTCCTGCAAGCGGCCTGTGGCCCGGTGCAGGCCCAGCGCGACCTGGCCGCCAGCATCCAGCACGTGTTCGACGTCTTCACCATGGGCATCGTCCAGCCCGCTGTCGCCCTCGTCACCGAGGCGGTCCATGTCGAGGGCATCGTCATGACTGGCGGCTGCGCGCTGAACGTGATCACGAACCAGCTGATACAGGACCTCCTGGAGGGTAAGAAGGGGGAAGCTGAAGAGGAAACGTTCTAGACCACCTACGCCTCAAAGGGCTGGTGGGATATCTCACAGTGCGCGTGAGCTTCACGATGCGTGTGGGGAACTGATGGCTTGCGCAGGCCACCGCAAAAACACGCCCGTGAGCGCCTGTGAGTACTGAGGCGTGGTGCTTGCGTTCGCCACAGAGCCTACGTTTGCGGACAAGATGTATGACCGTAAACTTTAGGAGCTCCGCGCGGATTTCTCGGATCGGCGCTGGGCCCCCCTGGTGACGCGCGCCTCCAGCGCCGCCCCTGGCGCGCTCCGCACGCCTATGAGGGAAGCCCTGCCGCGCGGACCCTTGAACGCGTATGCGGTTCTGAATCAAGTCGCCTAGGCGGTCCTGATTTTTAATTAGGGCGCCCAGGCGATTCTGGCCTCTAATTAGGGCGCCCAGGCGGTCCTGGTCCATAAGTAGAGCGCCCAGGCGGTCCCGGCCCTTACTTTGGGCGCCCAGGCGGTCCTGGTATGTCGATGGGTTATGCAGGGACGCGTATGTATATATATATATATATATATATATATATATATATAGTCATACTATATGTATACGTGCATATGTATATATATATATATACATATGTATGTCTACGCACCCTGCTAGCATGCACAGCATCGTCCTTTCATCTGCACGCGTCTGCTGGCGCCAACGGTTATTTACTCATGATTACTCGCCTGTCAGTCGTTGTCGGGTGGTTGTTCCCTCTCCCAACGGATGATGCCTCCTGGGCTACTTTGCACGAGAGAGGATGTTTGAGCTTCCGTGTAGAAGGGTTGAGGTATAATTCGCTACATATCCAATCGAGTCAGCGTCGTCTTTGTCGTCGTCGTCGTCGTGATCGTCGTCGTCGTGATCGTCGTCGTCGCCGTCTTCAAATGGGGTTCTCGCAAGTGACGTGCGCAGTAAGATCTCGCCAGATTTGTGCTGAGTTTGTTCGGAGTTTACCGCGCGTGCAAGTACTTGCGCACTACTGTTTTCCGTGTTGGGTATTCTTAGGTGGTTCTTTCGCCCATCGGGCAGTGTTTGCCGGGCAACCCTGCGCGACAGGGGAGTTGTGACGTGTTTGCAGAAGGATCGAAAGTAGTGCGCTACATTTCTAATCGTGTCTGCGCGTCGTCGTCGTCCTCGTGTCTTCATAGTTCTGGTGAGTTCGTTCGGTTGTTGCCGCGCGTGTAGTTATCTACGCATTTTTATTCGCCGTGTGGGGTAGCGTTGGGCGGTTGTTGCTCCCAGCGCGTGGATGGCCGTGGGCCGCCCAGGTTTGATTGCATAACTCTGTAGCCCGTTGTAGCCCACCAGGTGACGACGGCAAGGGCGGTCCCAGGGCCTCGTGGTCAAACAGATTTGCTGGCCGTGCTTTCCATTGCACTTGTTCCAAACAGGATGTCATGGTATCTGCGCGCTCATGGCTTGCAAACCATTTCCCCTGTAAGTTTGAAGCCTGCCCTGCTTATGTCGGCGTGTTCTGCAAAACCTCCGGATATCGTCCCAGCGCCCAGATGCAGTGTTCGAGTCCATCCATTTTGTCGGATCAATTTTGAAAGATCGCCTTCCTTCTTTCAGCAAGCGTCGCTCTTCTTGACAGTTGTTGCTGGCACGAGCTTCGCTTCTTTGTTGTACCATTGCCAATCTACGTTGTGACACCCATGGTCGTTTACTTCTTTTGGACGGCGTGGTATTACAGTGGCGTCTACTCGCGCCGCATGTGCGCCCTGCTCTCATAAAGCGTCTACTTTCCTGGGAATCGCGTGGCCAGCAATCTCGTCAGAAATGCGTCTGCGTGCATTCATTGCACTGCGGGGTCTCAAAGCAGATCTCTGTCTCTAGGAGGTTTGTGCGCAATGGATCGTCATGCTGAGCGTGCTGAATGTCCACTGTCAGTGGGCCAACGTGGGAGCATCGCACATGACGTAATTCAAAATATTGTATTTGTTCTCGGTAATAGACCCAGTGGTTTGGCATCCGTCGCTCGAAGTATGTATGTATGTATTTCCCAATCTTAGTTCGAGGGCTTGATGTTCGACTGGATGCTCAGGTCAAGGCTTTTCGAGATCTCCTGTGTGCATATCCTGATAAGCATAATGATCCTTGGTGGGAACAGGCATCGTATTTTGGTGATCAGCTCGCTGTGGAATTCGAAGCCTCAACTACCTTGGTGAATAAATTGCGTAGTCAGTCTTGGAATGAATGGTGTGATCAAGCGCTCAAGGGTTCAGCTAAGATGATGCATAAGATCACCCGTCTTCAGAAGGTATGGTCTCCCAGTGTTGTTGAACGGGCGCCTGGCATTTTCTCCAGCAGCCCTGATGATGTTCTAGCGTCTGAGGCCGAAGCTCTTCAACTTCAATGGCAGGCCAGCTGCCAACCTCCTGTTGCCGAAATTCCTGATCGTGAATGTTTCCCTCGTGCCACTATCGCAGAGATTCGAAGTGCTGCAAGCAGATTCAGCCAGCACACGTCATCGATTTTGGATGGCTTTCATCCCAGGCACATAAGTCTGCTAGGCGATGCAGGCCTTGCTACTCTTGCCGTTTCGTATGAAGCGGTAGAGAGGCTCGGGCTTTTCCCACGACATTTTATGTGGATGGTTTTCCCGCTGATTGATAAGCCAGCTGGAGGACATCGTGCAATTTTGTTGCTAGCTAGCTTTGTGAGAGTGTGGGAGAGGCTTCGCCGACCGCAGCTGGACCCCTTCTTCGAGGCTACGCAGAGGGATTTCTGGGCCTTCGGAGCTGGTAAGAGTGCTGAATCTTGTGTGCGGGCTCAGTCAGTTCTTTCGGAGGTCGCTCACGTCAAGGATCAGGTTGTCTTGGGGGTCCAGTGGGACGGTAAGAAGTACTATGAGTCCTTCCAACTCGATCTATTGCGGGATCGGGCTTACAGGCACGGTATCCCTAAGGTCATCGTGAAGACTATGTATAACTTGTGGCGCTGTCCCAGATTGGTCAGATTGGGTCCTGCTTTTCACCCGGTGGCGTTTTTCGCGTGCAGCGGATTACCAGCGGGCGACATCTTTAACGATGCTTTTGTACAGGTGTATGCGATAGAGTCGTTCGATGCATTCACGAACAGACACCCAAATATCAGGCTCTCATCGTACATATACGATTATACGTTATTGGCAGTAGGCAGTAAGAGCAGCTTATTACGTGAGGTCCCTGAAGCAGCAGCAGAGGTCCATAGAATGTTCAGGCTCGAGCTTAAAGCGGACATATCGGATAGCAAGGCGGTCGCTATCGCGAGCTCGCAGTCGCTAGCTCGGCCGTTAGCACATCAGCTACATGCTAGAGGCCCCCCCGAAAAGTACGGTCACATCAACTTCGCTTAATCTTGGAGTGGATTTCTCTCCTGGGCAGCTTCGTTTGGCTAAAGGTGCTCTTCGAAAACGTCGGCAAAGGTTTCAGCAGTTTAAGCTTCGTCATCAACGCGTCCTTCGGTACCGAAAGAAACTATCGCACGGAAAGCATCGTATGGCGATAATTCACACGATTGGACTGAAACCAGCCCTACCCTATGGCAGTGCAGCGTTCGGCATGAGTGACTACGAGCTCAAGCGGACCCGAGCTACTTTGCTTAGTTTCAAGTCGCCCTCGCATCGAGGGGCCTCGCTCGTGGCCAAGTGCGTGCTCCATGGCGACCCTGTGGCAGATGCGGCTATTGCTCCTGCGGTTCAGTGGGTTGTCGCAATTTGGCAATCGGCGGTCGCACCAGAGCGCGGTGTCTCTACGCTCGTCGAGCCCACACAGATGTATGATGCGATTTCTTCTAAATATGTTCCAGGGCAGACATGGAGACAATCCAGGGGCCCAATTTCCAGGATGATGTTGAGCTGTGACGTATTGGCTGGGAAGTGAAGAATGTTACGGAGTGGGTGGATGACCGAGGCATCGAGTACTCGCTCCTTTACACATCACCATCTCCCCTTAAGCACCTCATGTGTCAGGCGGTACAGCGCAGTCATGAACGTACGATGGCCAGCTTAGTAGGCTTGCCTGCACATGGGAATGGTAGTCAAGCGCACGTGTGTGTAGATATTGTACGCGCCATGACATGTCGATCGAAGAAGTTTAGTGCACGTCAGAAGTATGTTATGACAAGCTGTTTTACGAAGGCAGCTTTCACGGGCGATCGCCTTCGCGCATTAGGCTATGAGTCCGACGGCCTGTGTCCTTTGTGCGGGCAGCAGGACAGCCCCCATCATAGGCTGTGGTGCTGTCGAGCTCGCGAGTGTGTGGAAGCCCGAGAGGCGGCGGCTAGTCTGGAGATAATCGCGGAGGGTTCCCATGCGGGGCGCGAAGATTTATTTTTGGACTCGTCTCATCTTCCTGCGTCCTTCGTGCTATGTTGCTCCTCCTGCCGAGCAGCTGTATCCTACAGTGCAGACTGCGACTGGCGAGCCTCTCGTCGGCCACTCGACTTTGAGTGCCGCGTCGGATGTCGTCGTCGACGGGTCGTTCACTCGAAGTCCGATTCGAGAGTTGTCGAGGGCCGCCTACGCAGGAGTGTTTTTGCCTAGTGGGGTCAGAGGAAGGGATAGCTAGGTTTAAGGGCCCTGTATGGCCGTCTCTCCCCCAGACGCCCCAAGGTGCGGAGCGGATGGCCATTGTTGCACCCGCCTTTGCAGCGTGCGTGCATGTGCAGACGCATTCGGATTGTTTAGGAGTAGTCAGGATGCATAATCGGAGTTCGGCCCAAGTGTTGGCTGGACGATCGAAGCGCGCAGGCTTAATAAGGGGATTTAATGAGCTCGAGGGTGCTGAGTACGTGGGGCACGCGCATCACACACCAGCGCATAGGAGTTCTGAAGTCATTGATCAGCTCCCGCCACCAGAACGCAGAATAGGTCGTGCGAATGATATGGCCGATCGGCTTGCAAAGCACGCTCTGGATATGCACGCGCGGGAGAGCCCAGGGGGCCTTGAGCAACTCGACGCCCTGATTGGCAAGGCCCGTGTTGTGGCTCGCGTGGTGGGGAGTGTTCTTCCCTTTTTCCCGTTCGCCCAGTTCCCTGAGAGACCCAAGGTCCCCAGGCCCCGCGAGGTAGGCGCAAGGAGATGGCACGCTTGGACAGCAGTTCGTGGTGCAGCAGGCTCCTTCATCTGTCACGATTGTCACGCGCGTGTCACAGGTGCATGGCCTGATAAAAACCTGCAATGTCTGGTTGTCCTGGACGCCGGGGTAATTTCGGCTTCCTGCGGGGCCATCAAAAGCATGAACACTCGCTGGTCTACGCTAGACAGTCGAGTGGCCCGAGTTTAATTTTTTGTAGACGCTGTGGTGCATGCGGCGCGGATCGGCTCAGTCGACAGTTGGAGCAGGTTTGTGTCGGAAGGACTTGCTCTGCTGCCTCGAAGTGTAGGCTCGGACGGATGATGCGGGGCCTGCGCCCGCGATTTGACCGAGCACCAGGTGTGGTGCGCCATATTTTAAACGATGTGGACCGACAGCGGCTGCTCCAGACTCAGCAGCTGCCCCAGCGATCTGTCTTCCTCTCCCAGCTTCGGGTGGACGCCCCTGGCGGGGGGCTTCTCCCAGGGCTGGAGACCATGCGTTCGAGAGTGGCCGCGAGGGAAAAGGCGAACTCTGGTGGATAAACGATTAATCATCTACCCCTAGCGGGCAAAAAAAAAACAAAACTCCATGACCAAATCATGCTTGGGGGTTAACGTGATGTAGAGCCCGCCTACCCCAAGTGAACGGCCCTATTGTCGTCGATTCCCTGGCGTCTGCATGCCCAACTTGTGCATTCACGTCCCCCATGATAAGCTTGCCGGCTGTGGCCGAGCATGTCCGGAACTCGGCGTCCAGAGTCTCCCGAAACACATGTTTTTCCGGCAAGGGCTTCAAGTTGTGGGGTGCGTATTCGCCGAAGATCCTGAACACACGATGTGCAATTCTGATTTCTAATAAGTGTATGATAGTATCGTACAATGAGGCACGTGACTGGGAGAAATGATAAAGCCAACTCCAGACCATAAGAATGATGCGGCTGCCACTGTTCTCATCTTCGTAACCCTCTGCTTTTGTTTTCCGCGTTTCCTGCGTGCACCGAATAATTATTTTGTTTGTTTCCATGTGTTTTGTGATTTCTCCCCCGATTTCTCTGGCGTCGAGCCACGTACATTCCACGTATCGCACCGAAATCCAGAATGGTGTTCATGAAGATGCGGCCCAACAGGATATGATGGTATTTTGCCCACTCTGCCCTTGGGCAAAATCGGATGTGGAGAACTTCTAGGGTCAGCGGGCCCAGAAGGTGAGACAGCCCAGCGTCCGTGGCACCTTCAAAGGTAATGACGTGGCAGTCCTCTCCTCAATCGGAGCGTCTACGTTGCACCATACCCGGCGAGATCCTTGCCTTGGGTGTTGTTGTCGACACGTTAAGAATCGGCAAGATTTGCTGAGATAGTTCCGGAAACGAGAGTTCGACGAATAGCATGCCCTTGAAACCTTCGTCATGGAGGCTTATTTATAGACAGCTCGCAGCCCCCAACGGAGCCGCGAGGTCTCGTCTGGATGCGCGTACACCTCCGCTGGACCTCCCAGGAGCCCATACAAGTGGCGAGAATCGCGCTGTTCGCACCCATCAAGGGAGCCGCGAGGTCTCGCCTGGATGCGCGTACACCCATCCCGCTGGACCTCCCAGGAGCCCACGAAAGTGGCGACGGTTGCGCAGTTCGCACCCACCCAGGGGGCCGCGAGGTCTCGTCTGGATGCGCGTACGCCTCCCCTTGGACCTCCCAGGAGCCCACGAGAGTGGCAACATGTACACAGTTCGCAGCTACCCAGGGAGCAGCGCAGGAGGAGGCATGAGGAGGGGGGAGGAGGGAGGAGAGGAGGTGGAGACAACAGTGCTCGATTCAGAACGAGAACTCAGAAGAGGCAGGCTGAGGCTGAGGCTGAGGCAGGCTGAGGCTGAGGCTGAGGCAGGCTGATGCGGAGGCAGGCTGAGGCTGAGGCTGTGACTGCGACTGCCGTTGCCGCTGCGACTGTCATCGCGAATGCGACTGCGACTGCGAGAACAGCAGAATTCTACAACTGGATTCTCATCTGAATCTTAAGGGGAATGCTTCCAGATATGCTCCTACACATCGCTGTTAATTAGGTTGCTTTGCCGGGATAATAATATTTAGTTTTGTACGTTTCTAGGCCTCCTAGATGGGGTCAGAGTAAATGGGGTCGGAGGATGGCGCCGCATCGACGATGCATCGCCGATGTGGTTCGATGTGCAGCCCGATTTGCTTCACGTCGACGTCGCCGATGCATCGCCGACGTCGACGATGCATCGCCGGTGCATCGCCGGTGCATCGCCGATGCATCGCCGATGCATCGCCGATGCGATGCGGCGCGACCCTCCGACCCCATCTACTCCGACCCCATCTAGGAGCCCTCTAAAGTTCGGTTCGGACGCGCCCCTCCAACAGAAACACATAGTTCCAGTACGGTCGGTTAGTGTCGTGCCGACTGGCGGCGACCCCGCCGCCAGCGTTCAACGTTGAACGCCGCGGGCGACCCAGAATTGGTCGAGGTTGAACAACCTGACGTGTGGAAACGGCCGATCGTTCAAGGTTGAACGATCCCAGCCGTGTCCCCAGACCCCCGACGCCATGGCCCCCCAGAGGTGCGGATCCCTCCCCCAGGACAGGTTCTTCACCCCGAGTCGTTTCTAGACGGCCCCGAAGCCCTTTACGGGCTTCAGAGACCGAAAATAACGAAAGACCTCTCATTTTGAGGCTTGTCATGGCGCGAGGGGGCCTTGGGGGACCAGAGCCAACGCCAGGGTCGACAAGACGCGAGCCCGCGGTGCGGAACTCCTCCCGTTAGGACCGGCTCACCGCGGCGGGAGGCCAGTTGTCCCCCTCGGAGGCCCAGCGCGCCCCGCTGGAGGTGCTCTGGCGGCGCTCACAAGGGGGGGGTGCGCCGGAGGGCCCCCTCCTCCTCCTCCTCCTCCTCCTCCTCCTCCTCCTCCTCCTCCTCCTCCTCCTCCTCCTCCCTCGTTCGCCTCCTGCTCCTCCTCCTCCTCCTGCTCCTCCTCCTCCTCCTCCTCCCTCGTTCGCCTCCTCCTCCTCCTCCTTCTTCGTTCGCCTCCGCTTCGGCTGTCGGTCGGCTCGGGCTCGTCGGTCTCGGCCCGCTCCCCGCTGATCAATCAATGTCTGTCGCCTGCCTGTGCGATACCATATCTTCAGCTTGTCGCACGTGTAAAGCGCTCGGCAGGGGGGGGCCTTCAATTTCAGTCGTCCTGCACAGGCCAGATTCGGGCAGACGGCCCGACGGTCGCTCGCGGTGGGCGCCATCCTCAGCCGACGAACCTGGCCCGCGGCAGCGTCGCTCTTCCTCTTCCTCCTCCCCCTCTTGTGCAAGGTGTGCGAATCTCTCCAGCAGTATGCAGAGAAGGGAATTTGATTTACAGAGCGGGCAGAGGAGCAGTATGCTTCAGCCTCAGGGAAGTTGGTCAGGATGGGCAAGGACAAAAACGCCCTGAATAACGAGTTCGAGAGGGGGCTGGAGAAGGCGCTTCCGACAGTCAGGTTTTCACGGCCTTCACCTTGCCGCGGCCAGGCTGTTTAGATGGCTGCGCCCGCATTTGGGTGTTTTGGCAGACGCAAGCGCTCCGCGAGGCCTTGTCCGTGCTACCGTAGTTCTTCAGTTCGAGAGGGGGCAAACCATATTGAAGGATCACAAAACGGCCAGGGACATCAGGGCGAGTACGTGCGAAGCGTGGAAGCTAAGTGGGCTGATAAGGACCTGAATTGGGACAGAGTCATGAAGTCGATGGACGAGGTCCATGGTGTTGCTCAGTCTCTCACTCCGCTTTATTCGATGAGGAGCTGCTCATTCAAGGTGTCAGGGATGAACGGGCCCACGGCCAAGGGAGTGGACAAGCCGGGAGAAAATATCTGGCTTGGCTCCCCCCCACGGGCAATATTGAATTGGTGCGGATATTCCAACTTATTGGGGATGAAACTGCATGTCCTCGGCAATTCTTGGCTGTGTTGGTGACGTTGGCCAGGAAGTCCTCCGGCGATGATCGTGCTATTGGTGTGCTATATAATCAGGCTTGGCGTCGGCCAAGATGTCGAGAATCACGTAGAGCGAAGTTGATTAAGGAGCGAGCAGGTTTCTGGGATGCAGCGGTGGCAGGATCTTCTCCGTGCAGGGAGGCGATGTGGAGTAGCTACATGGATGAGACGATCACTCTGTCCTCCATCAAAAGATGGATGCAGACAGGCATGTTATGGGACATTGAAGACTTCGACGACGCAGTGCAATGGAAGTTGCTCATTGTGAAATGCATCATTCACCAGCTTCCCCCTCTCATCTTGGGCTTGGAGGTGATCTTGCACGCGGTGCCCCGTGCTCATCATGGATAGTGGGTACTATAAAGAGTTTATGCAGCCCACGAACAGCATGATTGCGGGATTGGGAGGAGCTGTGGATTTTTTCAGGCGTGCTCTTTGTATGTTGTTCCTGAGGAGACGACCATAGGAGCGCCGGGCATGATAATAGTTTCGTGGATCGATGGTGTTTCCCCCAAAAACATTGGGGTCGATGGGGATATGCAGAAGAGTGTTGAACCTAACTCCGCGTTCGGGGCTATGCTTTCCCCGCAAATGTGCGAAGGGCCCTTCAGACAAGTACGAATCTCACTTCGTGCTTCGATCTGGGGAACGAGCTCCAGAAGGCTTTCGCGGACGAGTGCTACGATGTGAGGCTGGAACCTGTGGCCACTGACCTTGGCGTCGATCGAGGTGATATTTCGCTGAGGGAGCCGAAGCAAGCTCGGTGGGCGTTGCGAAGATGGATGATTCACCCGAATCAAGAGGTTTGCGCAATGCGCGGCCGGGAAGCGCCGTCGATGGCGGACTCCTCGGGCAATGTCTTCGGGTCGGCCCTCTTCCGCCATCGAGGCGTGGGGTAGATCGTCGGTGCAGGCGCTGGCTGCGACGTGACCAAGGAGATGCTATGCCGCTCTCCTATAACTTCGCGCCGGGTGCAACGACCCACGACGTCGGGTTGTTTCAAAGCTGGCGGGATCTTGGTTGACTGTCGCTTGCGAGCCTGACTTTGACCAGGAGTTGGCCAGGCGTGCTTGGAGGGCCGCCTCGCTCCGAGTTGGTGCAGGTGGGGAGTTTGGGCGCGGGCGGTTTCTGCGACGATCGCCACTGTACTTGATGTGGGCCAGGATTTTGTTGGCCCTTGGGACTGGCGCGTTGGCGCCGGGGACAGGTGCCGATCCTCTGACTCTATGATTGGGGATGGACCGCAAGGTGCGGCTGCCCTGAAGGATCTTCATCGGAGTCTCTGGACAGACTCTGCGGCCCCAAGTCAGCGAGCATTGGAATGGCAAGGGGCTGGGGCAAGGCGCGGGTCTGCGCGATGCCAAGCTGCGCGTCGTGGCGCCCGCCAAGGAACGGGAACATCATTTGGCGGGCGCGACGCAGGCAGTTACGACGTATTTTGGAGGACATCCCTGTCGGCGGGGATGCATCTGGCGGCGAGCGCTCTTCGGGCCCGAGCCCGCGGAGGGTCAGATGGGCCAGGCAGGTGTCGAAGGCGAACTGCGGGGGGGAGCTGAGCCTTGACGTGCCGCGCGGACGTGGTGGTGGCATTGCTGGCAAGCAGATCGTCGACTGAGGTGAGCTGACCTGTTGAATGCGATGGAGGACCTGTTGGGGCATGGCTGAAGGATCGCCTTTGTCGTGGTCTCACCCCGTGCCGTCAAGGGCGCGGCCGAGCTCCATCAGGCCCCCCCCCGGCGACCAGCGGCGATCTGTGGCAGAAGCTGGGTTCCTCACAGGTAATTGGGATTGGCCCCGTCTGGTCGAGACTGGGGGCCACCGGGCTATCGAGGAGGCTCAGAGGACGGGCGCGTTGCTAAAACACTACTTGGCCAACTGCGTGGCGGACGAAGCCGTTGGGTCTGGGGCGAAGGTAGTGGCCATTGATGAGGCGGTTGTTGATTCAGTGGGGCGCGCCAGGGAGGTCAGACGCGCGGCGGGAAGCACTTCGCGAAGGCTTTTCTGGCAGCCTCGGAGGCGGGGCCCAAACGCATGCGCCCGACGCGCTCAGTTGTTCAGGGGTGTCAAAGACGGGCCCCCGCGTCCGAGAATCCAGTGCGCACTGGTATGGGCTCCGCCTCTCAATGCCTGCGCTGAGGGCGCAGCGCGTGCGGGGGGAAATTGGGGCATTTTTTGAAGATGGCGCGCCTGGTTGGCGTTGGTAAAAGATCTACTCGGAGAGTTTGCAATGCCGGTGATTCGGCCCAAGGGAGCCCGATCCACGGCTCCCATCTCCTGTGTTGCTTCTCTGACTTGCAGGTCCACGCCCGCCTCGGGTGGGGTTGTGTCGGGGAACGTCTCATCAGGGGCTCGGCAGGCCGGTGCGCAAGGTGTTGGGCCACTGCGTGCGCTGGGGTTTCAGCAAGCTGGTGACGGGCATTTTGTCTGAGTCTAGTGTGCGGCATGGGAGTCTGATTGGGCATGCTGGGACTGAGGTGCGTGTCTGCCGGCCGGCGCGGAGTCGGGGCGGTGACTCCGCGGTCTCGCAAGGAGATCGGCCTCGCGAAGGTGTAGCTGCGGATGTGGGTTCCTCGATTGCTACTGGTGGTCTGTGCCCGCGGGGGGGTGCGGGGCCGGGGGATGCCCCCGCGGGCTCGCGAGACGGGCTCGCGGGGTGTTCGTCAAGGCGAAGGCGGGGGCTCTGGGCCAGACCCACGACGTCAGGGACCTCTTTGCAGAACCTATTCAGCGCCCCCCACCCACGGGGGGGTGGAGGCGCAAGGGAGGGGGGGCTAGTGAACAGAGTGCTCTCTCTTTGGGCCCAGGGCGCAGACTCTACTGTGCGTGGCGGTGCGGGGTCGGGGGCTGTCCCGCGGGCCCTGAATTGGGTTCCTGCAGGCAGAAGTGATGATGATGTTTCTATGTGCCATTGCGAAAGGGACGGGGTCGAGGGCTTCCCCGCAGGCCCTCAAGGAGGCGGTGGAGGTTCCTCCACGAGCCCTGGTGGTGGCACGGGGTCGGGGACGTTCCCCGCGGACCCTGAGTGCTACCGCTAGTGGCTACGCTGGCAGGCGCTCCTTTCCCATTCCCTTTCCTCCTCCCTCGCCTTGTGTACAATCGTTGGGGGTGGCTTGCGTGCCTGAGTGGGTGGCGCTGGCCCGCGGAGCACTCAATGATTCCTTTTCCTGCTCCTCATTTCCCCCCTCCTCCTCCTTTTCCTCCTCCTCCTCCTCCTCCTCCGCCCTCCGTAGCCATTTTGGCTCAAGGCCATGGGCCGCCCCGACGACCGCGAGTCTTTCGGGGCGACGCCTGAGCGCGAGGGGGGTTCCGCTTTGAGGCCACTCGCCAACCCTATCCTCTGTCTTCTGCTTGCTCTTTCGTGCCTTCACTGCGGGGGTTGGGCCCCTGCCTCAGTTTGTCCCTCGCTGACTCCTCTGTCTGCGATGGCGGCTGGCGCTCGTGGCGATGAACTCTCGACGCCCCAAGTGGGGCAACTGGAGATGGCACCGACCTTCCCGCCACAGGAGGTCAGGTCGGGCAAGGGGAACGACTCTGGCAAAGGAGCTGCCCCTTCTCGCCTCGCCGACCCCAGCCCACAGAAGCGTCGCGCCCTCCCTGGTGGCGCTGCTCGTGATGGTCCCGACGCTGAATTGCCTCCTGCTCTCGACGACGAGATGCCTGAAGGGTGCGAAGACTTTATTCGCCAATTGTGCCGTGCCGAGTTCGACTCTATCAAAGACAACTTTGGCGACGCCATCGCCAAGACTGCCGCCGAGAGCAACGGGCCCCTGCTCGCCGCCGTGGAGAACCTCAGGGCCCTGGTTCAGACCAACGCCGAGAACCTCGAAGCTGACGTTGGCAAAATCGCGACCCCGCAGCTGGGCTCTCTCTCTCTCTCTCTCTCTCTCTCTCTCTCTCTCTCTCTCTCTCTCTCTCTCTCTCTCTCTCTCTCTCTCTCTCTCTCTCTCTCTCTCTCTCGGAGAATGCAGGCCCAGCTCGACCAGCAGAAGGGCATCGTCGATGCCCACGCCGCCAGCCTCTCCAAGCACGATCAGGACCTCGCGGACATCCGCCGCGAGATGGCGGAGCTCAGGCGTGAGCTGGTCCTCGCCGAATCCCGCCCTCGCCCCCAACCCCAAGTTCCTGCTGGCTTCAATCGTGACATCGACCCGTCCATGGTTGTGGCCATCTCCCAGCGCCCCACCTCCGTGGACAGTGTGCGCGAGGTGCTGGCGCCATGGTTATCTTCTATCGGTTTTGAAAATGCAAACAATGAGTGCAAGATTGAATGCACGGTGCCTTGCAAGCGTTTCGAGATCAAGTTCAGTGGCCCCATCGGGGTCGCCCCCCGCAAAGTTGATCGTGTCCTGGCCAACCTTCGTGAGGGTAAAGAATGGAAAGGGTTCTGGATCACCCCACCTGGTGATGTGCGCCGCCGTGTCCACCTCGGCCCTGACAAGAGCCCCAGGCAGATCAAGCAAGAAATCACCCTCCGCAAAGCTCGTAAGTTGGTGGAAGAAGCTTGCCCTGGCAGACGTTTCTACTCCGATCGCGAGCGCGGCGTCCTCTCGGTGGGCTGGGACAAGATCATGCAGATCTAGGTTGCGTCGGGGGACTCGCCCCCTGTTCTCTACTGGGACATCCCGAAGCTCGAGCACAACCACATGGAAGTCGACCGCCTTCGCGCTGCGACCAGGGAGATAACGAACCCTGCGGGTGCCAGCCAGTGGTCTTTAGCGCGTGCCGCCTCTTTCGGTCCATCATCCCTTCCTCGTCTTCTCTGCGGAAGCCACTCCGGTTTGCTACGTGGAACGCCAGGGCGCTTCTTCAAGCAGGTGGGGAGAAGGCTGGATTGAAGCGTCAATATCTTTTCAAGTTGCGTCTCTCCGAGACGATTCTCTCCCTCCAAGAGGTCCACCAGGATCATCTTCAACTAGTATCGTTTCTGGGCACAGTGGCACGTGATCTTACTGTGCGGTCTAGCTTCTGTGGCGCAGATGCAGGTGGCAGCATCCGCGGGGGCGTCGCAGTCGTACTTCCTCCTCTTCACCCCGATGCGGTCGTCCATCCTCCTGTTCCTCTCGTTCCTGGGCGTGTTCTACGGGTTGATATCTCGATGGGAGAGATATGCTTGCAGGTGTACAACGTGCACAATCATAGTCTTTCGTTGGCAGAAGTCGATCGAGTTGCGCGTGATATCCGTGCTGCTCGTGCTGCGGCTGAGCGTGCACCAGACTCGCACATGGTCGTGGTCAATGGCGACTTCAATTTTTCCTCGCACGAGTCCGTCCTGTTGCATATGCCTGCAGCGGCTGTGCGGCGGAGCGCGCGGCAGCACCATGCCCGTGCCCCGCAATGGCGGGCAGCCCTTGCTCCGCTGCTCGAGATTAAGAGTGATGCCCCATCGCGCTACGAGCGCGCTGGGAATGCTGAATCGTCCATCGATCGCTTCTATTGCTCGCTCTCGGGATGGCAGATGTGCCAGATGGTGGCCCAGGCGTCGACCGTCGATTCGGCTGCGTTAGTGTCGGACAGGCTCGTGTCGGATCACGCCGCCGTGGTGATCTCGTTCGCCCCCAGGGCTCCCAGGGTTCAGGGCCGGCGTGCTTTCCCCAAGCACATTTTCTACGAGCCAGTGTTCAAGCAGCGCCTCGAGGGTCTCATCGCAGCCTCCGACTGGTCCCAGATGTCCCCGCCCGTCAAGCTCGAGCATTACAAAAAGCTGTTGAAGATCGCCTCGGCCGAAGTTCGTGATCGTCTCTTTCGTGCTCGGCCTCGCCATCCTCGCGCCCTCTCCAACTCGCACGAGCACTCGCACGAGTTGCCTGGCGGCAAGACGCTCCTCTGGCGCGTCGGCTTCAGGAATCACATCCCCTCGCTGGTGACATGATCTGTGTACGGGCTGGCAAGGTTGAGCTCATCCACCCTCCCTCGTTCCAGTCCCGGGTCGATCAGGTCCAGTCCGATGCCGCGACCGCTGCCAAAGAGGAATTGGAAGCTCGCCGACGCCGTCAGGGGGACCGTGCTCAGATTCGGCTACAGCCCAGAGCCTTGGAGCGCAGGGCAAGGCTGTGGTCGCCACTGAATCGTCGGGTTTCCCTCTCCTGCGCCCGCCTAGCATGTGGCGAGGCTGTCCCCGACCCGTCCCAGCGGTTGCAGGCCCTCACCGACTACTGGGGTCCCGTCTTTAGGAAGAAGTCTTGGGATGAAGATGCTGCCCGCCCCTACCTCCTACGTCTCCTGCCTCGTGCTGATGATCTTCATCTCCCTCCGCCTTCCCGTGCCATGCTTCGTGCTGCTATACGTGGCGCCCAACACTCTGCCCCTGGGCCCGACGCTCTCCCGCATGCTGCGTGGCAGGCTCAATCCTTTGGTGAGGAGGTTCTCTGGGGTGCTCTCGAGTGGATTGGGGACGGCCAGTTCCTGTTCGCCTCTGCCCCGGACACCATTCAGATCTTCCTGCCGAGAAATGTTACCGACAGTGAGCTGCGCTCAGGGGACTGCGAGCGGGCCCCAGACAAGGTGCGCGTCCTCGGCCTCAGGAACTGTGATATCAAGCTCATCTCTGCGACGATGAATCGTGCTGTGCGTTCCGCGTTGGACCTTGTCCCCTCTTGCCAGCGCGGCTTCATTCCGCGCCGCAACTTCGGCGAGAACATCTTCGAACTCGACGCCTCGGCCAGGGTGCTATCGGTCACCCCCCGCGGGTCCCTGGACGTCCCGCTTCTGTACTCCCTGGACTTTGGCCAGGCCTTCCCGTCTCTGAATCAAGGTTTCATGGCCCTCGCGCTTCGGACCCTTGGGCTTCCTGATCGTTTCCTCGACTTCGTCGCGTTTCTGATGCCGCCATCGACGGTGTGGCTGTGGTGCAGGGGGTTCTCGAACATGTCTATTGGATCGACAGCGGCATTATTCAGGGCTGCGCCCTTTCTGGCTCCTTATTTGCGTTCAGTACGGCGGCTTTTCTCTCTGAGCTGGTCCAACTGATTGAGCGCCCCTCGCTTGGCCTCGTGCGGGCCTGCGCGGACGACATCGGTGGCGCGCTCTCCTCGATCGCCGACCTCGTTCGAGTCTTCGGGGTGATGTCCAAGGCCTCCGGTATGGCCAACCTCACGTTGAAGGTAAGCAAGTGCAAGGTGGTCCCTCTTTGCGGGCCTCACGCTCCTGAGCTCGCCGCTCGTGTCCTCCATGAGATCTCCTACTGGGTCCCCGAGTGGTCCTCCTTCGAAGTGGTTGAGTGCTTGCTCTACTTGGGCGTCTGGCTGGGACCTGGGGCGGATGCTGAACGTTCCTGGACCGAACCGCTCACCAAATTGCGTTTGCGGGCTCAAGCTATTGGCCGCGGCACCACCCCAGCCAGTCAGTCGGCCCAGCTGTACAACTCACGTGCTGTCACTACTCTCTCTGACGTTGCGCAATTCTCCTGGATCCCGCGTTCGATCCTTCAACCTGAGCTGGCGGTTCTGGCACAGGTATTTCGTCTTCCCCTCGGCACCTTCGGCCTCGACGTGTGGGTGCAACTTGAGCGGTGGGGTGCTCCTAGGATCATTCGTTGGGCACATCTTGCCGTGGCATCTATCACCCGCGCTGCTTTGCTCACGTATCCGTGCTGGGAGCCCATCCTGTCCCGCATGCGCGAGCATATTGCCTCGAGGGACACCGACGTGACGCTCGACATGCTCCCGCACTGCCGCCTGCACACTGGCTTCTGGAAATCCACCGCGCTGGCCGAGAACCTGGAGGCCGCTGCCCTCGGCCGTGCTCCTGAGGGCTCGGGGCTGTCCGCCCTGCTGCCCGCCGCGCTTTCTGCGGCGCGGGCCGTCCTGTCCCCCGCACTTGGCCAGCGTCCACGCCCTCAACGTGCTGCTCACCTCGCTCTCCGCCTGCTAGCGTGCACGGCTCGCCCGCTACATGCCCTGGTTCGCCGACGTTTGGTGAAGTTTGCTGGCCGCTCGATGGGTCGTTTCGATTCGATCGACTGGGGCAACTGTGCCATGGTGCTGGCTCGTTGCCCGTGCTCATGGGCGTGGGCGGTGTTGCGCACTTGGTGTGACGGATGGATGACGTCGGCGCGGGTCATCTCCCCTCTTGGCCAGGGGCAATGCGCGTTTGGTTGCGTGCAACGGATCGACTCTCTCCGACACTATGCCCGTTGTCCACCTATGCACCGTGCTCTCAGGCGCGCTTTGGCTCGCCCCATCCCGCTCGATTGGATCTCCCGTTGGGGCCTGGCATCTCCATCGTTTGCCTCATTCTCTGTGCTCACGGCCGCTTGCAACATGTACAGCGAAGTCCGCACCATCCCTGACTGGCCGCTTTCCGCGGCGCAGATTCACGCTTGCGCCCTGGCGGGCGTGCGGGCGATGCGTCTCGCGCACCCGTCTCGCACGTCCGAGGTGGAGCGCGCCTCGCTCGCACCCCAATGGCCTCCCCGTGTGGCTCGCTCTTCGAGCTCTTCCTCAAGTTCGTCCACGGCATCGGCTACCTCTTCATCTGCTTCCTGCAGTGCACTCTTGACCACGATGACAGCGACTCCAGACTCCTGTCCTTTGTTGCCGCCCCGCTCGCGGAGATGCTCTACGCAGTGCCCTGGTCATCCCGACAGTCCTCGACTTACTCCAGTGGTATCGCCTACGACCCCTTCGCCTCGGGCATGTCCTCATTCTGGGGAGGGCGACTCGGACGGCCTGGCCATGTTGGACCTCCATCCTGCGGCCCCGCCTACGCCTGCTACGCCCATTGCGACACCCGAGCGCGTCGGCCGCCTGGAGGCCCTTCCTGGCGGTGACGGTGCAGCGCCTCGTGTGCATAGTGTGTCGCCCTCATCCGACTCTGGTGCCCCGTCGACGGGTGATGTCAGAACGCCAAGCCCTGACAGTGGGTGCTCCTCGAGCCCATCTGTTCAGGCATCTAGAGTAAATTGCGAGGTGGTGACCCTGTCTCCTGCTGAGGTTGGTGCTCGGGGCGTCAGATCGCGAAGTCCTGGTGGCGGGTGCTCCTCGAGCCCGCCTTCCCAGGCTCCACGAGTTTATTGCGAGGGGTGGTCTCACTTGACGGGTGGTGTCGCCTGCCATCGGCCCCACGACCCTCCCCATGCCAGAACGCAAAGTCCTGGGCTTGGGTGCTCCTCGAGCCCATTGTCCCAGGCTCGAGTAAATTGCGAGCGTCAGGCCTCTGGTTCCGTGGTGTCGATGGTGGTGAGGCGCTCTCTTCGAGGCTGCCTTCTTTCGACGACTCCGATTGCCTCGGCCTCTCCGCGACCGCCCTGCACTTCGTTGGCCTTGCCAGGGCCTTCTCTATGCTCGCCGTGGACCCTGAGTGCTACTCCGCCGACGCCAAGTTCTGGGGGCGCCTCTCGAATGGCTGCCACCTCGTCTCGCGTTGCCGCGGGATGCCCGTCCTCGGCGACCCCGTGCTCCCAGAGAACGCCTCCCGCCTCGCCTGGTTCTGCGTCGTGGACCCCTTCTCAGCGTGAGGCCTCCACAGGAAAAGGCCTTTCACTGTCGCCCGTCTATCTCGCCCCCGTCGCTCCGTGCACCTCTCCTGCCCCGTTCTCCACTAAGCAGTCATCGCCCGCTCGGCTTGCGCAGCATCTTCCTAGTGTGTTCTCTATCTTTTCCTCCCTCACCCCTTTCCTTCGCTCCGTTGAGCTCTGCCCCTGCCGCTGCCTGCCCCCCGCCTGCTCCCCCTCCCTCCGCGTTTCTGCCTCCCTACTCACCCGTGCCCGTCTCCCCAGGTCGCCCCGCTATTGGGGGTAGTTTTCCTCACTCGCACGTGCACGCGTCCTCTTCCCAGCCCGTCTTGTCTCGTGCTTGCGCTCCTGCACCCCGTCTGAATGAAAGAGCCGCTCACGACCGCTTCGTCGTGGACGGCACCTTCTTGGCCAACATGGTCAGTCATGGTGCGCCCCGCCCGCCGCCGCCCGACGAGGCGCGCCCGAGCTGGGGGTAGGCTGGGGGTTGGGACTCGCCTGGTACGCTGGGCTCCTCCTCCTCCGCCCCATCCTTCCTCCTATTCCTCCTCCCCCTCCTCCTCCTCCCTCCTCCTCCTCCTCCTCTTCCTCCTCCTCTTCCTTCTCCTCCCCTTCCCCGTCCACCTCGTCCTCCTCCTCCTCTTCGTCTTTCTCATCCTACATTCTTTATCCTTATAGATAGTTCCTCCCTGTCGCACGCCGAGGCCAGTTTTTAGGGCGGGCCGGGCGTTTCGCACGAGACATCCCCACCATGTAGGACACTGACGTCAAAACATTGGCAGCAGTTTTGCATATGGAGGGCGGGTGATTTTCAAAATGTGGCTCTCGCCTTAGCGCCGCAATCGTTTCACGGATTGAGGGCGGGTGGTTTTCAAAACGTGGCTTTCGCCTTAGCGCCGCGCACATTCGTTTCAACGTGTGGCAATCGTTTCACGGATTGAGGGCGGGTGGTTTTCAACATGTGGCTCTTGCTCTAGCGCCGCGCACATTCGTTTGAACAGATGACAATAGCTTCACGGATCGAGGGCTGTTCCTTTTCAACATGTGGCTCTCGTTTTAGCGCCGCATACGCGTATATGTGAGTACGTACATCGTTATATACGCACGTATGTTTATTTGTGTAGATATGTGGATATATGTATGTATTTATGTATGATTATATGTAAATATGTATACATGGATGCATGTATGTGTGTATGTACATATATGTATATGTATTTGTATTTATATAATTATAAATATGTCTGTATGTACACATTTACATATATTATCCATACGCACCTCTCCGAGGGAGTAGAGCTCAGAGGCGATTGATGCGTACGCGCCGCGTCGTTCGCGATTTTTGCTGGCCGTTTCGCTAGGGACATCCTCTGAAAATCGATGGCACCCCTCACGCATATCGTGACGTCAGGGTCCAAACACATATGGGAACTTCAACGTTTTAACATGAACCTTCGAAACCACATTGTAATTTCAATGATTTTGACACCGATTTTCAGAGAATGGCGGTTTCGCCTGAGACATCCTCAAAAAATCGAGCCCCGCCGTACCTTCTGGTACCCCAGACCCCGCCTCGGAGCCTCCTGGGGGCCTCCTGGAACCTCCTGAGGCCTCCTGGGGCTTTCTGCACCTTCTGGTACCTCAGACCCCGCCTTGGAGCCTCCTTGGGGTTTCCTGGAACCTCCTGGGGCCTCCTGGGGCCTCCTGCGGCCTCCTGGAGCCTCTCGGGGCTTCCTGGAGCCTCCTGGGGTCTCCTCGGGACTCCAGAGGCCGCCTGGGGCCTCCTGGGGCCTCCTGGGGCCTCAGAACTACATGTTTTTGATTGGCGGCTCCAAGGACAGATCCAGGAAACGGGATTGACTCGACTGGGGCACAAAGCGAGATAATTGGTTGCAGAGGCGCATAGGCCGCTGAAGCGAGTGCACATGCCAGGGACAAAATGACCCTCATTGGAGGCTGACGCTGGCGGCCCGACGGATGGGGGCGCAAGCACAGAGCCGGGCGCGGACGGAAAGGAGCTGTCGCACACGTGGCGCCAAGCTCCGACCGTACCGTACAGCGCGAAAAGGCGTGGAGAACGCCGCACTGTGGCGGCACGGGGTGGCCAGCGTGGCCGCACCGTCCATACAACAAAAGGTGAGGCAAAGTAACAGGAGAGACACGGCGGGCGCTAGGGCACCCGGCTGCAGGAAAAAGGGAAGACGCGGCACAGAGGGGGCCTCACTCACGGTGACTCACTGTCGCAGACGTCGGGTCTGCCCGCTCTCGGACGCGGGAGCGACGGAGACCCAGTCAGCGGTCATGCGGTGATTCACTTCCAGCCTGTGGCCAGCGCGTACGCAACTTATCCGACACTATGATCGGGGCACAAAGTTGCAAGCGCTGACCGAGGCACCTGCAAGGTGGGCCAGCTGGGGGAGCAACCGTGACCTGCCGAAGGATGAGCCACTCGTGCAGGAACACGCCCTTGCCAGGCCCGTCCCTTGCAGGGGTGTGGCTAGAAAACGTCAGAGCGCCATCCAGTAGAGAGAGACCACTGGTGTGCGCTCACGAGGCGGGCCACCACCAGCCCGTAGCCAGTGCGTGCGCATCGTATCCGACTCGCAGTTCGGGGGCACACCGATGCAAAGGACTGACGAGGGCTGTTCAGAAGAGAGCGACCACGAACTGCAGAAGGCTGAACCACTCAACGCAGGGTCGCTCGCTTGACGAATCCAAACACCGAGACGCCGAGTGCATGGCTGACTGCTGCGCCCAACCGCACCTGCCACGCTGCCCGTGCAGTACTCTGGCGACGGGCACTGGCCGCGCGAGTAACCGCATCCGTCAACTCCGCACGCGAGCCCCTGCGACACGCGGACTGAGCATATCGGAGTCGGATTGGGCGTCGCCGTCGACTTCGCCGTCGGCGCTGGCGTCGCAGTGGTGTTCCTTCACAGAGCTGGGGGCGCAGCCAAGAGCCGCAGAGACTTGTGACTGAACGTGGGGGGTGCAACCTAGTGCCGTTGGCACAACCACAGCGCCTTGGGCCTCCATGCTTGGACCTGGCCAAGGCACTTGCCCCTCCTCAAGCAAGGCGCACTTCGTTGGGGGCGCAGCCAAGAGCCGCAGACACTGTTGAATGCCACCTCCAGCCTGTGGCCATGCCCTGGACCTCCACTCCGCAGGCTCCTGCCTCCTGGGTCGTTGTTCACCCGCCTAGGCAATCGCAGAAACCACGCTCAGAGAATGCTGCTGGGCGAGTCGCAGCGGCGGCCCCGGCGACGCGCAAAGGGGGGCGAACGAGAAGCGTGTCGCCCAGCACCGGGGGGCGGGGGGCCACGCGAAGCTCGGGGCGCAGACGTCCGGGGATCTGGCAACGAGCACTGGCCGCGCGAGCTACCGCAGCCGTCGTCTCCGCACACGAGCCCCTGCGACACGCAGACTGGGGTGCATGTCGGAATCGGGGGCGCAGTCGGAGTCGGGTCAGGCGTCGCAGTCGGCTCCGTCGTCGGTGCTGGCGGCGCGCGCTTCCAGATGGCGCAGAGGAACATCTTGCGGCCGCACCGCGCAGCGCCGCAGTAGAAGCCGAAGATCACTCCTCGCCCCGCGTCGCAAATACCCCCCCCCATGCTCGTGGCTGCGCCGAGAAGAGCGAACGAGCAAGGGCCGCTGAAGGCTGTGCCGCTCGGTGCAGTCTATGCCGCCGTCACAGCCCAGGGCGCGGGGTGTGTGCCTGGTTGCCAGCCTTGCAGCGTTGGTGCAATCTTGGCGAACACGATGGGGGGCGCAGTCAAGAGCCGCAGAGACTTGTGAATCAATCTTCCTCGGCACCACACTCTGCGCGAAGCCGAACGCCGAGACGCCGAGTGCATGGCTGACTGCTGCGCTCAACCGCACCTGCCACGCTGCCCGTGCAGTGCCCTGGCGACGGGCACTGGCCGCGCGAGCAACCGCATCCGTCAACTCCGCACGCGAGCCCCTGCGACACGCGGACTGAGCATGTCGGAGTCGGATTGGGCGTCGCCGTCGACTCCGCCGCCGGCGCTGGCGTCGCAGCGATGCCCTTTCACAGAGCTGGGGGCGCAGCCAAGAGCCGCAAAGACTTGTGACTGAACGTGGGGGGTGCAACCTAGTGCCGTTGGCACAACCACAGTGCCGTGGGCCTCCACGCAGGGGCCGGGCCAAGGCACTGGCACCTCCTCATCCAAGGCGCACTTCGTTGGGGGCGCAGCGAAGAGCGGCGGGCGCTGGTGAGTGCCACCTCCAGCGTGTGGCCATGCCCTGGACCTCCACTCCGCAGGCTTCTGCCTCCCTGGTTGTTGTTCGCCCGCCTAGGCAATCGCAGAAACCGCGCTCAGAGAATGCTGCTGAGCGAGTCGCAGCGGTGGCCCCGGCGACGCGCAGAGGGGGGCGAACGGGAAGCGTGTCGCCCAGCACCAGGGGGCGGGGGGCCAGGAGAAGCTCGGGGGGCAGACGTCAGGGGATCTGGCAACGAGCACTGGCCGCGCGAGCCACCGCAGTCGTCGTCTCCGCACACGGGCCCCTGCGACGCGCAGATTGGGGTGCATGTCGGAATCGGGGGCGCAGTCGGAGTCGGGTCAGGCGTCGCAGTCGGCTCCGCCGTCGGTGCTGGCGGCACATGCTTCCAGTCGGCGCAGAGGAACATCTTGCGGCCACACCGCGCAGCGCCGCAGTAGAAGCCGAAGATCACTCCTCGCCCCTCGTCGCAAGTACCCCCCCCCATGCTCGTGGCTGCACCTAGAAGAGCAAACGAGCATGGGCCGCTGAAGGCTGTGCAGCTCGGTGCAATCTATGCCGCCGCCACAGCCCAGGGCGCGGGGGGTGTGCCCGGTTGCCAGACTTGCAGCGCTGGCGCAATCTTGGCGAACGGGATGGGGGGCGCAGCCAAGAGCCGCAGAGACTTGTGAATAAATCTTCCTCGGCACCGCACTCTGCATGGGGGCGCAGCCAAAAGCCGCAGTCACTTGTGAATCTTGATTAGGGATGGGGGCGCAGCCAAGTGCAGCTGAACTCGGATCCTGCACAAGGGGAGGAGGAGGGAGAAGGGATGCGCAGCCAAGAGCCGCAGTAACAGGTGAATTGGAGGAGGGGGGGGGGGGGGGGTAGGGGGGCCCGCTGGAGCCCACTGGAGCAGTGCTGCCTGCTCAGGGTCCTCTCTCTGTTCTCCTCGCAGCAGTCCCTGTGGTGGCGCCTCAGTCGCCGCGGGGGGGTGGCCTGCTCGCCTGTCCTTCAGGTGAAGCCTGCTCCCCGCAGCAGTCCCCTGCCGGTGGGGATGCGCGAGGCGTGAAGAATGCCGGTATTCTTTTGCTTGCCGATTGCGACCGCTCCTGGGGGGGCCTGTCAATTCGCCACCTTCGCAGCGTGTTTCCTCCGACATATTCGGGATGGGCGTATCTTCCGCTCCGGGGGGGCCTGTCAATTCGCCACCCTCACAGCGTGTTTCCCCCTATAGAGAAGCACGGCGCGTCCGACGACAGCCCGTCAGAACCCAGAGGGGGATGTATGAGACACCCGATCGCGCTGCTGAGTACGGTGTGCAACTCGTAGTCAACAGAGAAGGTGGATCTCAGAGTAGAAATCCAAACTGTCCACGGTATAGCCACACGCGCAGCACGCAGACAGAGGAGAAAATAACTGAGGTCGACGGTGTAGCCACACGCGCAGCACGTAGACAACAGCCAATATAAAGAAGTAAAAGTTCTGAACGAAGCAGGAGTCGAGACACATACCATGGTAGCAACCCGCAGGGATGCCACGAGGGGGTAGCGAGGCTACTGTGGGGAGACGGCCCACTATTGTTTTCTGTGCTTCCTGGGGGCCTGTTTGTTCGGGTGGCCCTTTGCCGCGTGTTGGCCACTGCTCACTCCGCCGCTCGGGCCCAGGTGCAGCTGCCACGCCCGAGCCCAGTCGACGTCGAGGCCCAGCGCTTCGCTGAGGACCCGTACGTCGCACTTGTGGCTGCGGAAGGATTCCAGGAAGAGGTGGCAGGTTTGCGGGTCGCGTCGAAGCGGGTCGAGCGCGCTCTTGCTGCTGGGCACAGAGTGCCGCTTGGCGAAAGCCTGCCAGGTGCCAGTGAACATTGGTCCCAGTGTGACTTGGAGTCGTCGCATCGTCTCGCCGGGTGTCTCCCCGGGGAGGTCCCACTGGGCGTTGTTGCTTCCTGTCTTGCACAGCTGTTGTCCCGTGTCGGGGTCCTTGGGCTCTGGCCATTGACGCGGGTCGGGCCCCTGGTGCCGCCGTGTATCCCGGCCGCAAGTCTCCGACGTACCGGCCTCGTTGTCCTGGCTAGGGGGTTCCCGATCTGCTCGCGACTGCTCCGGCTGCGCTGTTGGCAGAATTTTGCGGGAAAATGCAGGCCGCGTGGTTGGCCGCCGGGCTGGGGTCGGAGCGCGTCCGGCGGCCAGGGCAGACGCGGCCTTGTGGCACGTGGGGAAAGGTCTCTTTCGCTGGGGTTCGCCTTCGGGCCTGTGCCCGCTGTCGCTCCCAGGTGCGTCCCCTTTGGACAGCGCGTGACTCTCTCCGTTCTCTGGGGTGCCACTTGTTGTGCCGGGCGCGCGCGCGCTCTGCGGCACTCCTTCCGTGGCCGAGGCGCGAGCTGCTTTGCCAGTGGTGCCCTGGGCGCCTGGCGAGGGCGCCTGGGGTTCGCCGTCCATGAGGGGCTCGCTGACAGGGGAAGGGGGGCGAATCGGTGCAAAGGGGTTTCTCCCGACGAGCCAGCGGATGGCTTCGCTGTCCTGCGTCTGGATGATTGTTCCGTGGTCTCACTGCTGGGTGCGTGGCGCTCCCAGAGGACTGCTGACGCACTAATTGCTCTGAGGGGGATATTCCGCGGCTTCCGCAGCCTCCGCCGTCTCCGCCGTGACTTCCCCCTCCATTCCTTTGTCCTGCTGGTGCAGAGGACTGCTGACGGACTGATTGTCCTGAGGGGGATGCTCCTCGGCTTCCGCAGCCTCCGCCGTGTCCGCCGTGACTTCCCGCTCCTTTCCTCTGGCCTGCTGGTGCAGCTGAAGGGGTGGGTCGTTAGTGTGAGCTGTGCGCTGGTCGCTGCAGGCTACCTCCTCTCGATTCCCCACTGGGACGTCATCGTCTGACCACGATGCGGGGGGTGGTATCGTGACCTCTGCCTCAACCGCCTCTCGATTCCCCTCTGGGACGTCATCGTCTGTCGACGAAACGGGGGGTGGCGCGCTGCCGCTGCTGCTGCTGCTGCTATGCTCCGATATGTCGTTGTGCGTGGCAGGATCCCCGGGATGGTCGTCTGTCGTCGTCACGGGGCGTTGAGGTGGTCCGTGCTCAGGGCGGCCGTCGGGGACGGGGCTGGGACTCGAGACGCCGCGATTTGCATCTGGCCTGACGGGCGCTATTTCATTTCTGGGATTCGGTAATATCGAAACCGCGCTCCCTTCTGGCCTAACGGGCCCCATCTCAGTCGTTGCAGAGTCCTCCAGATGGTCGTCGGTCGTCCTGGTCACCACGGCTGGGGCCGCCTCGAAATTCTGAGTTCCTGGTCCCGTGACGGGGGGGTAAGGGGAGGAGGAGGGGCGCCCACCAAATCCGGGAAGAGCATGCCGATGACCGCCGTGATGTCCAGACGAAAGTTGGCAATCTTAGCCGCCAGCTTCGAACGCCTCGCCGCAGCGACGCTGGCCGTCAGCACCTTCCAGTCGAAGTCGCCCGCCGAGACATCGGTGCCAGCAGACTGCTCCTGGAACAGCTCGCAAAGCGTGCAGTAGGCCACGCCTTGCCCCAAGCCTGCCGCGGGGACTTCGGAGATGGCGCTGAGGTTCGCCATCGTGGCCAGGCGGCCGTTCGCGATCTCGGCATTCAACCTGCGCTGCCTGACCGTGGCGTCGGTGCTGAGGAGACCGATGGGCCTCCATCCGAGCTCGCCAGGCTTCCCCTTAGGGTCCGAGTTGTACCCGGACGGGCCCGACTCGCAGTAGAGGCGATGCGCCACAATCTGCAGCCAGCCGGGTCCTGGTACCTTGGAGGGGGCAGCCAGCCCGATCGGGGTGTCTTCGAGCCTCACCTCGAGAGACGGGGAGGTCTCGCCAGGAAGCTTGCCAGCAACCTCGGGCGTGATGTAGCCCGTCGTGGCGAGCATGCTCACGCGCCCATGCTTGATCTCTGCCTCGCGGCACCTCTTGAAGGCCGCGGCGTCACCGTCCTTCGTGAAGCCTGCGGGGTCCCAGACGTCCACTGGCGCCTGCGCGCCCAGCTCGCGCTCGAAGGCGCGCAGCGGGGAGTCCGTGTGCAGCGCCCAGTCGCCCCGCGCGCTGCCCGAGAGGCCGTCCTGGTAGAACATCCCGATGATCGCCAGCGTCGCCAGCCTTCCGTTCGCGGTCTCGGCGTTCAGCTCGCGGGGCTTGGTCTCGCCGGCCGGCAAGGTGCTGCCGTTGGGCGCGCCCAGGACGCCGCCGTTCTCGTAGTCGCCGGGGGCCCTCGAGGGGTCGTACAGAAGCCCACCAGCGCCAGCGCGCCCAGCTCGCTCTCGAAGGCGTGCAGCGGGGAGTCCAGGGAGGCCAGCGGCGGCGGCAGCTGCGGCCGCGGAGGGCGCATCCGCAGGCGCGGCGGTACCAGCGGCCGCCGCCAGCCAGCCGCCGCTCCCAGTGTCACGAACAGCGGCCGCCGCCCAGCGGCCCACCAGAGGCCGCCGCGGCGGCGGCGGCGGCAGCGGCGGCCGCAGCGGGCGCCACGGCGGGCGCGGCGGCACCCGCGGCCGCGGCGGCCACAGCGGCGGCCGCCGCACCCGCGGCGGCCACGGCCGCCGCGGCAGGCCCCAGCGCAGCAGCGCGCGCCACGGCGCCGGTGGCCGCGGCGGCCTCGCCGCGGCCGGCCGCCGCAACGGCCTCGGCGGCCGCGGCGGCGGCGCCGCGCGCCACGCCGAGGCAGCCAGGGGCCGCCAGCAGGCCGGCCGGGCCGGCCGCGGCGGCGGCGCAGCAGGCGGCGGCGCGCCGCTGCCGCCGCCGCCGCGCCGAGCGCGACACCATGGCCGAGCGAGCGGGGGCGCGGAGGGGGGCGACCCCCTCGCACGTCCCCGCAGGAAGGCCGAGGACCGAGGGGCGGAGGCCCGGCCAGCCGCTGAGGCCCGCTTGAGCCAGAGCGGCTTGAGCCAGGCTGCGGATAACTACATGTACACACAGAGACACAAATCATACCCAACACATCACACGCTAGACAAACATACCACGCACACACAACATCTACAACGCACAGAAAACACGCACAACACAGAGCACACATCACACACGCCCACGCAACACTCACAATCCTGAGGCCTCCTGGAGCCTCTTCCGGTAACCAAGTCGGGCCTCCTGAGGCTTCCTGGGGGGCCCTGGTACACACATCGCAAGATGTGGCAAGCCCACCTGCGCTCGAGTGCGACCTGGCTATTGCATTTCACCCCCAGCAGCTATCTTCCTCCTCTTCTCCTGCTTCATACGCCCTTTCAGTTTTTTCCCTAACAGCTTTTGCTGATAGGCTTCTACTGGGATCAAAAGAGAGCATCTTGACGCCCCAGGGGGGTCTGGGCGGGATCCGGACAAGGGACCGGACAGAACCGGACAAAAGGGTCAGCCCCAGGAATCCTTAGGAATCTTTAGGAATCCTTAGGAATCCTCAGGAATCCGGTGGAATCCTTAGGAATCCATTCCCAGAACACCACTCCCAGGCCACATTTTGAATGCCCGGAGCCAACTGTAAGCCACTCCGGGTTCTTCGAGTTCCCAGAACACCACTCCCAGGCCACATTTTGAATGCCCGGAGCCAACTGTAGGCCACTTCGTGTTCTTCGTGTTCCCAGAACACAATTCCGAAGCCACATGTTGAATGCCAGGAGCCAACTGTAGGCCACTTCGTGTTCTTCGTGTTCCCAGAACACAATTCCCAGGCCACATTTTGAATACCCGGAGCCAACTGTAGACCACTTCGTGTTCTTCGTGCTCCCAGAACACCATTCCCAGGCCACATTTTGAATGCCCAGAGCCAGCTGTAGGCCACTTTGTGCTCTTCGTGTTCCCGGAACACCATTCTTGTACCATCTTTTGGTTGCCCGGGGCCAACTGTGGGCCACTTCGTGATCTTCGTTTTCCCAGAACACCAGTCCTGTGCCATATTTTGAATGCCCGAGCTGAGGCAGGCTGAGGCCGAGGCAGGCTGAGGCCGAGGCAGGCTGAGGCCGAGGCAGGCTGAGGCTGAGGCTGAGGCACGCCGAGGCAGGCTGAGGCTGAGGCTGAGGCAGGCTGAGGCTGAGGCAGGCTCAGGCTGAGGCTGAGGCAGGCTGAGGCCAAGGCAGGCTGAAGTTGAGGCTGAGGCAGGCCGAGGCTGAGGCAGGTTGAGACTGAGGCTGAGGCATGCTGAGGCTGAGGCTGAGGCTGATGCAGGCTGAGGCTGAGAGGTTGACGCTAAGGTTGAGACGGGCTGAGGCTGAGGCTGAGGCCGAGGCAGGCTGAGGCTAAGGCTGAGGCCGAGGCAGGCTGAGGCTGAGGCAAGCTGCGGCTGAGGCAAGCTGCGGCTGAGGCAGGCTGAGGCTGAGGCTGAGGCAGGCTGAGGCTGAGGCAGGCTGAGGCTGAGGCTGAGGCAGGCTGAGGCTGAGGCGAGAGGGCTGAGGCTGAGGCTGATGAGGCTGAGGCTGAGGCTGGGCAGGCTGAGGCTGAGGCAGGCTGAGGCTGAGGCTGAGGCAGGCTGAGGCTGAGGCTGAGGCAGGCTGAGGCTGAGGCTGAGGCAGGCTGAGGCTGAGGCTGAGGCTGAGGCTGAGGCTGAGGCCGAGGCAGGCTGAGGCTGAGGAGGCTGAGGCTGCAGGCTGAGGCTGAGGCTGAAGCTGAGGCAGGCTGAGGCTGAGGCTGAGGCGGTGGCTGAGGCTGAGGCAAGCTGCGGCTGAGGCAGGCTGAGGCTGAGGCTGATGCAGGCTGAGGCTGAGACAGGCTGAGGCTGAGGCTGAGGCTGAGGCAGGCTGAGGCTGAGGCTGAGGCCGAGGCAGGCTGAGGCTGAGGCTGAGGCAAGCCGAGGCAGGCTGAGGCTGAGGCTGAGGCTGACGCTGAGGCTGATGCTGAGGCAGGCTGATGCTGAGACAGGCTGAGTCTGAGGCTGAGGCAGGCTGAGGCCGAGGCAGGCTGAGGCGGAGGCCGAGGCAGGCTCAGGAGGCTGAGGCAGGCTGAGGCTGATGCAGGCTGAGTCTGAGGCTGAGGCAGGCTGAGGCTGAGGCTGAGGCTGATGCAGTCTGAGGCCGAGAGGCTGAGGCTGAGGCAAGCCGAGGCAGGCTGAGGCTGAGGCTGAGGCCGAGGCAGGCTGAGGCTGAGGCTGAGGCAAGCCGAGGCTGGCTGAGGCTGAGGCTGAGGCCGAGGCAGGCTGTGGCTGAGGCTGAGGCAGTGGCTGAGGCTGAGGCAAGCTGCGGCTGAGGCAGGCTGAACCTGAGGCTGATGCAGGCTGAGGCTGAGGCAGGCTGAGGCTGAGACCGAGGCAGGCTGAGGCTGAGGCTGAGGCTGATGCAGGCTGAGCCTGATGCAGGCTGAGGCCGAGGCAGGCTGAGGCTGAGGCTGAGGCTGAGGCTGAGGCTGAGGCAGGCTGAGGCTGAGGCTGAGGCAAGCCGAGGCAGGCTGAGGCTGAGGCTGAAGCTGAGGCAGGCTGAGGCCGAAGTTGAGGCCGAAGTTGAGGCTGTGGCTGAGGCTGAGGCAAGCTGCGGCTGAGACAGGCTGAGGCTGAGCCTGATGCAGGCTGAGGCCGAGGCAGGCTGAGGCTGATGCTGAGGCAGGCTGAGGCTGAGGCAGGCTGAGGCTGAGGCTGAGGCAGGCTGAGGCTGAGGCAGGCTGAGGCTGAGACCGAGGCAAGCCGAGGCAGGCTGAGGCTGAGGCTGAGGCTGATGCTGAGGCAGGCTGAGGCTGAGACAGGTTGAGGCTGAGGCCGAGGCAGGCTGAGGCTGAGGCTGAGGCAAGCCGAGGCAGGCTGAGGCTGAGGCTGAAGCTGAGGCAGGCTGAGGCTGAAGTTGAGGCTGTGGCTGAGGCTGAGGCAAGCTGCGGCTGAGACAGGCTGAGGCTGAGCCTGATGCAGGCTGAGGCCGAGGCAGGCTGAGGCTGAGACTGAGGCTGAGGCTGAGGCTGAGGCCGAGGCAGGCTGAGGCTGATGCCGAGGCAAGCCGAGGCAGGCTGAGGCTGAGGCTGAGGCTGATGCTGAGGCAGGCTGAGGCTGAGGCAGGCTGAGGCTGAGGCTGAGGCAGGCTGAGGCTGAGGCAGGCTGAGGCTGAGACCGAGGCAGGCGAATCCTTCGGAATCCTTAGGATTCCCTAGGAATCCTTGGGAATCCTTAGGAACCCCTAGGAATCAGGATTCCTGAGGAATTCCAAGGTTTCCTAAGGATTCCCATGGATGCCTAAGGATGCCTAAGGATGCCTTAGGAATCCTTAGGATTCCATTGGATCCTACGGCCGTTGCCACTGCGACTGTCATTGCGAATGGGACTGCGACTGCGAGAACAGCAGAATTCTACAACTGGATTCTCACCTGAATCGTAAGGGGAATGCTTACATATATGCTTATACACATCGCTGTCAGGTTGTTGTGTCTGGATATTTTTTGTATGAACCTGGGCACACACGTGCCACGTATATGTATATATATATATACATATATGTATGATTGACTGTATATATGTATGTATGCATGCATGCATGCATGCATGCATGCATGTACGTATGCATGCATGTATGTATGTATGTATGTATGTATGGATGGCTGGATGGATGGATGGATGTATGCATGCATGTATGTATGTATGTATGTATGTATGTATGCATGCATGTATTCATGCATGTATGTATGCATGTATGTATGTATGTATGACTGTGCGTATATGTGTGTATGCATGTATGTATGTCTGTCTGTCTGTCTGTCTGTCTGTCTGTCTGTCTGTCTGTCTGTCTGTCTGTCTGTCTGTCTGTCTGTCTGTCTGTCTGTACGTACGTACGTACGTACGTACGTATGTGTGTGTATGTATGTATGTATGTATGTATGTATGTATGTATGTGTGTGCGTATGTCTGTCTGTCTGTCTGTCTGTCTGTCTGTCTGTCTGTATGTATGTATGTATGTATGTTTGTCTGTGTGTATGTATGTATATATATATACACACCAGTAAGGGCTTCGCCCCCTGCCGCCGGCTCCCTCTCTATCATAATGCGATATGTCAGAGTCGTGCCGATGCGTTTCGGCGCTGCCTTGGCGCATCTGGGAATATCATGCTGGGGCGGATCGGAATCATCGGCGCATGTTGAGACGTTGGCGTTATCGAAGACGCCTACGGCGAATCACCGCCGCCCCCTGCCTTTTTGGAAGTGCCTATGTGGCCGAACTTTGAGGCCAGACCTGCCACGCTATCCGACCATGTGTTCCCCGAATCGGTTTGGAAAGCCTTCGGGGAACACGTGGGCATCAAGGTCATCTTGGCCGTCTGGAGGCCATTTTGATCCTTTCGAGCCGTCTTGGAGGACGTCTTGGAGGGCTCTTGGGCCGTCTTGGAGGCCATCTTGCGCGTCTTGGAGGCCTCTTCGGCCGTCTTGGGGGCCACTTGGGGCCGTCTTGGACCTCTTGGAGGATCGTTGGGGGCACTTGCTTGGGCCGTCTCGGGCCGTCGGAAGGCCGAACAAAAAGCAAATGCCACAGTCCTTGAACAACTCATGGGAAATCAATGATTTTGGCCTTTTCGGGCCTTCCTGGAGGCCCTCTTGGAGGCCTCTTGGGCCGTCTTGGGCCATCTTAGTGCCATCTTCGGTCGTCTTGGTGGGCCCCTGGCCCGTCCGACGCCGTCGGAAGCCGTTTGGGGGGCCTCTCTGAGCCGACTTGGGGCCCTCTTGGAATGCTCCAGGGCCGTCTTGGAGGCCATCTTGGGCGTTTTAAAAGCCTCCTGGGCCGTCTTGGGGGCCTCTTTACAGGGGTGTGTTGCATCGGGGACGCAAGACTTGAGCAATTTGCGAGGGCTTGTGGCCTCGAGGACGCGACTCTTGCGTAATTTACCTGGGATTCTGGGTTCGGGACGCGAGCATTGCATGATTTACGAGGGTCTGTTGCCTCGGGGACGCAAGACTTGAGTAATTTACGAATATTTGTTGCCTCGGGGATGCAACACTTGCGTAACTTGCAATGGTTAATGGCCTCGGGGATCCGACTATCTAATAATTTTCGAGGGTTGATTGTCTCGGGGACGCAAGAACTATTTATACACACACACACACATATATATATATATATATATATATATATATATAAATTTGCGATGATTGCTGGCCTTGGGGACGCAAATATCGTATAATTTTTATGGGATCGTGGCCTCGGGTGCGCAACGGTGGCGTAATTTACGGGGGAGCGTGGCCCCAGAGGCGCAAATGTAGTATAATTTGCGAGAGATCGTGCCTCGGGGGCGCGAATATGGTGTACTTTATATGGGATTGTGGCGTCGGGGACGCGAATATAGCGTACTTTACGCGGGGTTATTGCGTCGGGAGCGCGAGTCTCATGTATTTCTCCGTGTCCCACGGCCCCGCAGGAATTCAGACAACGCGATCGGGGCGTGGTAACCGGGTGGTTTGGCCCCCCCCCCCTTGCGCGGACTTCAACAGTTTACAATCGGAAACAGAAAGCAGGACCGTAACATTGGAGACTGGAAACTGGAATTGGGGCAGGGTACTGAAACCTAATCTTCGCAGCCTGATGGCCCCACAAGGTGGTCGGCGGATAAACATTCGCAAGAGTTTCACGGGTTCCCATGACCAGCGTACCAGGAATGGTGTTTTGGAAGGATTCAGGGTTTTGGGGCGCAACAGTTGCGTTGATTCGCGGTGGTCAAGTCTCAGGAATGGCGATCTGGCGCGATTCAGGATCGCCAAGACGCAACAGTCACGTTGATCCGTGGCGTTGGAATCCTGGGAACAATGTTTTGGCATGCTTCAGGGTCTTCAAACGGTTGTCTTTCACCGAAGCAGTTCCTTCATTGGAAATGAACTGTTGTAGGGGCCTGTGAAGAGGGAGCTGGGAGGGAGGGTGTGATCCAGCATCGTTGATGACTCTTGGGTTTACACTGGTCCTCCTCCTCCTCCTCCTGTTCCTCCCCCCCTCCTCCTCCTCCCCCTCCTCCTCCTCCTTACTCCTCCTCTTCCTTCTCCTCCTCCTCCTCCTCCCTCCCGCTCCCATCTCCCCCTCCCCCGCCCCCCACCCCTCGGGTGGCGGCCTTCGAAGAAGGTGTGCGAGGGGTATGGCTTTCTGAGAAGCAGAGGCCTTGACCTCCGAAGATGTGTCGCTTTTTTATCAATCCGGGCGTTGTCTCTCCATTTCGGCTTGTGGGGGGCGCTACTTGGCCCCGGGGCCATCGAAAATGGAGCCGGGACGAAACAAAAACATCCTCGGGGAAGGTGTCAGGACCTCGGGGGCCGCAGATTGAACAAGAATCACATCGGCGGATGTCAGGGGTGGGGGGGGGTCCTGGAATCGAAGAGTTGAACATTGAATGAACATTGGGTAACCATATTTCCTCAGAGGTACGAGAAATTATGCTTACGCAGCTTATTGCTGAAGGCCGCGGAGGTTTCAAATAAACCTTTCTTTTAAATGCTTCGGGGGCCTTCTCAGGAGCCCCCATCACTTGCCTTTTAAAAAGGCCCCCTGCCTTATCAGAAGGCCGCCCCCCCCCCGCGGCCATGCGGGCGCCGCCACGAGCTTGGTCTTTCTCGGACCTGTGCATTTATTTTCTCGGCGAGGACCATCGAGGAGCATCTTCCGACCACCTTGCAAGAAAAACATACAAAGCCAAACAGATGCACGGGCAATGGACGTTTGAGCGATGGCAAGCGAGGTGTTCTCCCCCCCGGCGGCGAACGACGGCGGGCTGGCCGTGGGCGCGCTGTGGACCCTGGCGCCGCCGCTGACGCGGCAGCCGCTGCAGTATCCCGGGCGCCCTGCGGCGAGCTCCGCCACCGTGTCACGGGCGGGGGGGTGGGGCCCGGGTCGGAGAAGAAGACATGGCATGAGCATAAACTGTGGGCGCTCCGCGCGGATTTTTCGGACCGTCGCTGGATCCCCCTGGCAGCGCCTCCGGCGCCGCCCCTGGCGCGCTCCGCGCGCCAGGGAGGGGGCTCCGCGCGCCAGGGAGGGACCCCCCAAACGGTGTGGTGACCACACCGCGTGGTGAGTCAGCGGGGATTCGGGGTCACCGCACGGTTTTGGGGCTCGGGTCGTTCTCCGAGGACATTTCGGGCGACCGCGGCCTCCGAGGTCCCAAGACCTTGCGGTGACGGAACGCGCGGTGATATCTCTTGGGATCTCGAGGTCACCTCGCGGTCCGTCACCACACAGTTTTGGGACCCCCGACACGGGCTCGAGAGGCTCGTCAGAGGAGGGCGAGTTGAGACAGCAGCAGTTGGCCTTCGGGGAGGCCCGTCGTCGTCACGGCTGGACGCAGCTTGGAAAACCAGTGCGTCTGGATCCCTGGATACTTTCCAGCAGATGCGCCTCGTCGAGGGCTTCCCAGGGATGCCCGGACCGTGCCGAAGGGCTCAAGGCTCCCGGAGGCCAGAGTTATGATCCGAAAGGTAGGAGGAATGTTAGGGAAATGCCCGCACAGGAGCAACGCTTACGCTTAGACGTCGCACTGGCATAACATAGATTACCCCAGTGCGACCCTACCTAGAAGCTGGAGCCCCTAGGAAAGCAGCATTAGTTGCTATGCTATGCTATGCTATGCTATGCCATGATATGCTGCGCTATGCTATGCTATGCTGCGCTATGCTATGCTATGCTATGCTAAGCTATGCTATACTATGCCATGCTGCGCTGTGCTATGCCAAGCTATGCTATACTATGCTATGATAAGCTGCGCTATGCTATACTATACTATGCTATGCTATGCTATGCTATGCCGCGCTATGCTATGCTATGCTATGCTATGATTGACTATGTTATGCTATGCTATGCTTTGCTAATGCAGCGTTGTCATATGCTAAGCTAAGCTAAGCTAAGCTAAGCTAACCCTCTAGGCAGCGCTGCACAGCGTGATGCACAGCTATGCTATGCTGTGCTGCGCTATGCTTTGCTATGCTGGGCTATGCTATGATATGCTGTGCTGCGCTATGCTATGCTACGCTCTGCTATGCTATGCTGTGCTCTGCAATGCTAAAGCTCAGCGAAGCTAAGATGAAGGTAAGCTAAGCTAAGATACACCTGAGCTAAGATGAAGCTAAGCTAAGCTAATATGAAGTAAGCTGAAGTAAGCTAAGGTAAGATGAGATAAGCAACGCTAAGCTAAGGGGACGTAACTGGAGGAACCGCGGGGCGGATACTGGGGGAACCGCCCGGGGCGCTTTCCACTGCCCGGCCCCTTTAAGCCCAGAGAGTAAGAACCCTTCTAGGCAGAGCCTAGGTAGGGAACAAAGACGGGCACGTGCGCGAATGAAGAAATGCACGGAAGAATTACCCCAGTGCGACCCTACCTCGAAGTAGGAGCCCCTAGGAAAGCAGCATTAGTTGCTATGATATGCTATGCTATGCTATGCTATGCCATGCTGCGCTATGCTATGCTATGCTATGCTATGCTATGCTATGCTGCGCTATGCTATGCTATACTATGCTATGCTATGCTATGTCATGCTGCGCTGTGCTATGCTGCGCTATGCTACGCTATGCTACGTTATGCTATGCTACGCTAGGCTATGCTAAGCTGCGCTATGCTATGCTGTGCTATGCTATGCTGCGCTATGCTATGCTATGCTATGCTATGCTATATTATGCTATGCTATGCTATGCCGCGCTATGCTATACTATGCTATGCTATGCTTATGCAGCGCTTCGCTATGCTAAACTAAGCTAAGCTAAGCTAAGCTAACCCTCTAGGCATAATCTAGGTAGGGAATTTCACCCATGCTAATATGCTATGCTGCGCTCTGCTATGCTATGCTATGCTGTGCTCTGCTATGCTAAAGCTCAGCGAAGCTAATATGAAGGTAAGCTAAGCTAAGATAAACCTGAGCTAAGATGAAGCTAAGCTAAGCTCATATGAAATCAGCTAAGGTAAGATGATACAAGCAACGCTAAGCTAAGGGGACGTAACTGGGGGAACCGCGGGGCGGATACTGGGGGAACCGCCCGGGGCGCTTTCCACTGCCCGGCCCCTTTAAGCCCAGAGAGTAAGAACCCTTCTAGGCAGAGCCTAGGCAGGGAATTATGGGAGACTTTGCTGGGCCTCGGTGGCGAAAACACCGTCTGCCCCGGTGCTGCGCGAGGGTGGGCGGCAAGGTTGCCGAGGCAGCGGCGAGGCTCTTGCAGCGGAGGGAAGGCCCGGAAGCTAGGAGCACCGTTAGGTACCGATACCGTCGCTACACTACCTTCGTTACCACTGGGAGGCCCATGGGCTGGGAGGCTCGAGTGCCCACACATGAGCGACGAAGCAAGCGGGCCCAACTGCGCCGACATTCTCGCGGAGGTTGCTCGCGCAGGGTCGCGCGTGAGCGCCCTCGTCTCCACTGTGGCGCGCATCGCTGGCGGCCCGCGCGAGCCACAGGGTCGCGATGCCATCTCGCGTCGTGGAAAAACCACGGCGGGAGGTCTTTGGCCGTGTCGACGGCAGAGCCATCGCGCCCAACGCGACTTCGAGACCCACCGACGAGCCCCCAACGGGCCCCTCGGAGGCTCGCAACATGCCCCCAAGAGGACCAGGACCCGAGGAAGCTCCCAGTCAGCTCCCAATATGCTTCGAGAGGGAGGGGGAAGGGGGAAGAGATGGGGTCGCTCCTGTGCAGATCAGATCGGGCCCCCCCCCCCACTGAGGTTGCGGCTGGATCGTCGGATCCGAGCATCGGGGAGCAACCCCCCACTGAGGTTGCGGCTGGACCGTCGGATCCGAGCATCGGGGAGCAAGGGGGCTCTGCACACTCGGGGGCCCCTCGCCAGGCTCCGTGGCCGTCAAAAAACGGCTCGGGGTGAAAAGCTGGCCCTTTGGAGAGGGTCGGGACTCACGGGGTGCGCGCGCTGAGATGCAGAGAACATCGCATGTCTGGGGAGGGGGGGGGCGAAGCACGCGAGTGGGCGCGATGAGTGAGGGGGGGCTGGCCCTCAGAATACATTCGCCATCCCTGCCAGACACCACCTGGCATTCTGGCACCGTTGCCCTGGGCTTTCAGGTCACTGCTCGACTCTCCGGCGGCCGTTCGGGACGACCCTGGCACCCCCTAGAACGCTCTGGGCGAGGCGCAGCCGCTGGGAGGCACCCCGAGACCAGAAAACCGCAGGGAATGGACGGAACTTCGGGGCCGTGGACATGTCCATTATTCCTCAAGCAGTGCTTACCCGTATGGGTTCTTGCTTGTCCTCTCAGGGACTGGGCCTGTCTGCCGCTCTGGCGGCTGTGTTGCCGCCAGCGCCGCCCCGTCGCCGCCTCGTCGCCTCCTGTCGTCTGGGCCTGTCTGCCGCTCTGGCGGCTGTGTTGCCGCCGTCGCCGCCCCGTCGCCGCCTCGTCGCCGCAACAAGCACTGCACTACATAGATTGCACCACGTTTATTTTGCATCACATCGATTGCACAACCTAGATTGCTCCACATACATTGCTCCACGTCTATTGCACCATATACATTGCACGGAACATAGATGGCACCACATATATTGCACCACTTTGATTGTACCACAGTGAGTGCCCGACATCGATTGCGCAACATGGATTGCACAAAGTATCTTGCACATCATAGGTTGCACCACGTAGATTCTCCTTTCTAAAAAAAGACAATCGGTTCTACCACCCTCCCCCTTCCGGACTTGAAGACCTCTCTGGGAACCGATGTAAACCACATCGGATTCTTACCCAATGTCCATCTTACCTGTGAATTCATACAATCCCAGCCACACCGAAATCCGTTCCCCCCTGCCATCCTTTACCAAACATACTATGCGCGCACACTCGGTTAACACAAATCAAGTTTTCAAGAACCCCTTGCAAAAAACATGACGAAGTATACATGCGCGCGTCGTCGCCGGGGCATGCTGAAATCCTTCAAAGACCGTCAGGGTTTGGAAGGATTTCCAAATCGAGCTTCCAAAACACATACAAAAAACCAGGGTTTCGCAACATTGATTGTCTACAAAAGCTTACGCGCGCGCTCTTGCGAAATCTTAAGAAAACCATTGATTTTTCAAGATTTTCAGAAAATGCTACCAAACTTGCTTCGCGCGCGCATGTCGAAATCTTTCGAACGCCCTTGCGCGCGTGCCGTCGCGAGAATCCTCTGCAAAACATGGGACGAAGTGCACACGCGCGCGTCGTCGCGCGCGCATGCCGCAATCCTTCAAACAGCTTCGGTTTCGGAAGGATTTCAAAATCGAGTGCCCCAAAAACATACAAAAACACAGGGTTTCGCAACACGGATTTTCAAAAAAAGCGTACGCGCGCGCGCTCTTGCGTCGTCGTCGTCGTCGCCGTCCTCCCTCCTCCCTCGTCGTCGTCGTAGTCGTCGCCGTCGTCGCCGTCGTCGTCCTCTGTCTTTCCTCGTCGTCGTCGTCGTCTTAGCGTCGTCGTCGTTTCCGTCGTCGTTGTCGCCGTGGTCGTCCTTCCTCCCTCGTCGTCTTCGTCGGCGTTTCGTCGTTGTCCCTCCTATTTCGTCGCCCTCGTCGTCGTCGTCGTCGTCGTCGTCGTCGTCGTCGTCGTCGTCGTCTTCCCTCCTCCCTTGTCGTTGTCGTCGTCGGCGTCGCCGTCCTCCCTCCTTCCTCGTCGTTCGCGTCGTCGCCGTCCTCCCTCCTCCCTCGTCGTTGTCGTCGCTGTCGTCGTTGTCGCCGTCGTCGTCCTCCCTCCTCCCTCCTCCCTCGTCGGCGTCGTTGTCTTCGTTGGCGACGTCGTCACCGTCGTCGTCGTCGTTGTCGTCGTCGTCGTCGTCGTCGGCGTTGTCATCGTCGTCGTCGTCGTCGTCGTCGTCGTCGTCGGCGTCGGCGTCGTCGTTGTCGTCGTCGTCGATTCCGTCGTCGTCGTCGTCGTCGTCGTCGTCGTCGTCGAAGTCGTTGGAGACGTCGTCGGCGTCGTCGTAGTCTTTGTCGGCGGCGTCGTCGTCGTCGTCGGTGGTACCCACCGAGTGCACAGCATAGACTGCACAACATAGATCGCACCACATATATTTGTCCAAACATATTGCGCCAGGTACTTTGCGCACTGCATCGATTCTCTTTTCTATAAGAAGAATAGACTCAACCCCTCCGGAATTAACGATACACCTTTTCGTATTGCAATTTACATATGATTCTGCCCCATCGGCCATCCTAAATGTGCATCCGTATTATCTCAGCCAAACCGGTGTCTTTCCCCCCCGCCATCCTCTGCAACAGGTACTAGTTGATCAGAAATCACAAGTTTCCAATAATCCCTTGCAACAAATTGGACGATGTGCACACGCGCGCGTCGTCGCACGCGCATGCCGAAATCCTGCAAAAACCCTCGGTTTCGGAAGGACTTCAAAATCGAATTTCCAACGCAACACTGATTAGCTAAAAAAACTTACGCGCGCGCTCTTGCGAAATCTTAAGGAACCATCGGTTTTTCAATATTGCAAGAAATGCTACCGAACGGGCTTCGCGCGCGCATGTCGAAATCTTTCGAACGCCCTTGCGCGTGTGCCGTCGCGAGAATCTTCTGCAAAACATGGAACGAAGTGCGCACGCGCGCGTCGTCGCGCGCGCATGCCGCAATCCTTCAAACACCTTCGGTTTCGGAAGGATTTCAAAATCGAGTGCCCCAAAAACATGCAAAAACACAGGGTTTCGCAACACGGATTTTCAACAAAGGCGTGCGCGCGCGCTCTTGCGTCGTCGTCGTCGTCGCCGTCCTCCCTCCTCCCTCGTCGTCGTCGTCGCCGCCGTCGTCGTCCTCTGTCTTTCCTCGTCGTCGTCGTCGTCGTCTTGGCGTCGTCGTCGTTTCCGTCGTCGTTGTCGCCGTGGTCGTCCTTCCTCCCTCGTCGTCTTCGTCGGCGTTTCGTCGTTGTCCCTCCTATTTCGTCGCCGTCATCGTGTCGTCGTCGTCTTCCCTCCTCCCTCGTCGTTGTCGTCGTCGGCGTCGTCGTCCTCCCTCCTTCGCCGTTCGCATCGTCGCCGTCCTCCCTCCTCTCTCGTCGTTGTCGTCGTTGCCGCCGTCGTCGTCCTTCCTCCTCCCTTGTCGTTGTCGTCGTCTTCGTTGGCGACGTCGTCATCGGCGTCGTCGTCTTCGTCGTCGTCGTCGTCGTCGTCAGCGTCGTTGTCGTCGTCGTTGTCGGCGTCGTCGTCGTTGTCATCGTCGTCGTCGGCGTTGACGTCGTCGTCGTCGTCGTCGGTGTCGTCGTCGTTGTCGTCGTCGTCGTCGTAATCGTTGTCGGCGTCGTCGTAGTCGTTGGAGACGTCGTCGGCGTCGTCGTAGTCGTCGGCGGCGTCGTCGTCGTTGTTGTCGCTGTCGTCGTCGGCGTCGGTGTCGTTGCCATCACGGTCTTAAGAGGTTTTGCAAACCAAATTGCGGGTGGGTGGATGGGATGTTTGCGCGAGCAGTGGAGTGAACAAGTCACTGCGAACAGAAATTCAGTCTCCTTTCTAAAAAGAGAATAGACTCTACCCCCCCGGAGTTAACGGGTCACCATTCCGTAATGCAATTTACATCTGATTCTGCCCCATCGTCCATTCCAAATATGAATCCATATCATCCCAGCCAGGCCGGTATCACTCCCCCCGCCATCCTCTGCAACAAATACTATGCGCGCACATTCGTTTATGGAAAATCATAAGTTTCCAAGAACCCTTCGCAAAGCATGGGACGAAGTGCACACGCGCGCGTCGTCGCGCGCGTATGCCGAAATCCTTCAAAAACCTTAGTTTTCGGAAGGATGCAAAAAACACAGGGTTTCGCAACACTGATTTGCTAAACAAGCTTGCGCGCGCTCTTGCGTCGTCGTCGTCGTCGCCGTCCTCCCTCCTCCCGTGTCGTCGTTGTCGTCGTCCTCTATCTTTCCTCGTGTTCGTCGTCGTCGTCGTCCTCTTTGGCGTCGTGGTCGTTTCCGTCGTCGTTGTCGCCGTGGTCGTCCTTCCTCCTCCTCCCTCGTCGTCGTCGTCGTCCGTCGTCGGCGTCTCGTCGTCGTTCCTCCTATTTCGTCGCCGCCGTCGTCGTCGTCGTCGTCGTCGTCGTCGTTGTCTTCCCGCCCCCCTCGTCGTTGTCGTCGTCGGCGCCGTCGCCGTCCTTCCTCCTTCTTCGTCGTTCGCGTCGTCGCCGTCCTCCCTCCTCCCTCGTCGTTGTCGTCGTTGTCGCCGTCGTCGTCCTCCCTCTTCCCTCGTCGTCGTTGTCATCGTTTGCGACGTCGTTTTCGTCGTCGGCGTCGGCGTCGGCGTCGTCGTCGTCTTCGTCGTCGACGTCGGCGTCGTCGTCGCCGCTGCCGTCGTCGTCGTCGTCGTCGACGTCGTTGTCGTCGTCGGAGTCGTCGTTGTCGTTGTCGGCGTCGCCATCGTCGTCGTCGTCGTCGGTGTCGGCGTCGTCGTCGTCGTCGTCGTCGTCGTCGTCGGTGTCGTCGTTGTCGTCGTCGTCGTCGTCGTTGTCGTTGTCGTCGAAGTCGTCGGAGACGTCGTCGGTGTCGTCGTTGCCGTTGTCGTCGGTGTCGTCTTAGTCGGTCTTAAGAGGTTTTGCAAACCAAGTTGCGGGTGGGTGGGTGGTATGTTTGCAAGAGCATGGGATGTGTCAAGTCATGGGTAAAAATCAATTGCACCACATAGATGGCACCACGTGGATTGCACCACGTAGACCTGTATGGCATAGATCGCACCACCGATGTTTCACCACATATACGGCACAACATGGATTGCGAGAAACACATTGTTTGGGGTCCACGCTGGCTGGCATACTATGGTATGTTAGTGCAGCACTTAGTGGCCGGCCCAAACACGGCGCATACATGTGTTTCAACTTCGCCCAGAGAGCCAACCAACAACTCATGCTGCCCTGCGGCGTTTCTGCGAAGCCCCATGGGACAGAGCCCAGATACCTCAGTGTATGCACGCGCGCTCCGACGATTCGGCGGCGCGCACAATGGGGTGGCGCGAGGGAGGTGGCCTTCTAAGAAGGCGGCGCGCTTCTTAGAAGGCAGGGGCCTGCTTAGAAGGGCCTGGAGGCTTCTCAGAAGGCTTCTTAGAGGCCGGGAGGGCTTCTAAGAAGGCCCCTGCTTGCCCAGAAGCTCCTCCGCCTTGGAAGACGTGGCGCCCCCCTCGCTCGCGCTGCACCCTCTTCTTCGCGCCGCCATCGAGCCCCGAAGCTCGAGCCTGCCCTGCCGGGCGCCACCCGGCATTCTGGCCCGCGCCCACGCCGTGCACGGGCACGGTGGCGGCCCTGGGCTTCCCGCTGTGGGACGAGGCCTCGCTCGAGGGCGCGGCCGAGGCCCGCGGCGCCCGGAGCCTCGCCGCCTTGGGCGGTGTGGGCTACCTCGCGGAGCTCCTCGCGGGGGGCCCCGCGTGGCAGGGGCACCCGGGCCGCAGGTCGGCGACTGCCAAGGGCGTGGTTCTCCCGGGCGGCCTCACCAGCCCCTGGCGAACCATCCTCTTCCGGGGCGTTCCCCCCGCCTCGCCCCAAGACGTGTGTATAGGCGGCCGTAGGGAAGCTTGAAAGGCGAGGGTGACGTCACGGAAGGGGAATGTTTGCTAGGGGTCTGTGAGGCCGTGCCCGAGGTTGTGGTCGCAGGAGGATAGGGCACCGATGCCGCTGCCCTTCCCTCGGTTTCGCTTTCTCGGGCCTTTCAGGAGGCCCTCGTCGTCACGGCCAGGTTCGCTCAGAGTTCCTGGTCAGCAGGCACCCGGTGAGAGGTCCGGGGAGCAGCGGTATCTGTGTCTTTTGGTTTCCCCAGCTACGCCGGGCGTCGTGTGCGATCTGCGTCGTTGGGGCTTGGAGGGTAGCACGCTGCCCTCGTCGGGCCCAGTGGAGAGCTCTGTCGAGGTCCTCGCCCGCCCCCCACGGGTGCGGTTGCGAGCCGCATCCTTTGGCAAACCAAGCCCTTCGGAGTCGCCGAGCAGGGCGGACAGGCCGATCGTCGCCGTGGTCCGCGGCAGGCATCGAGGAAGAAGGCAACAGATGTTTGGAGCCTCGAGCGGGTTTCTCGGATCTGCGCTGGGCCCCCCTGGCGGCGCGCCCGGCTCCGCGTCTGGCGCGCTCCGTGCGCCAGGGAGGGGAGCCGAGCGGCGATCCGAGACTTCCGCGCGGACCTCCGAAAGTTTATGCTAATGCAGTTTTCCTTCGCCTGAGGCAGGAGTTCGGTCCGCGTGCGTTGGGCCACCGCTCGCTGGTCGCAGTGCCAGATTCTGTGGAGATGCGCGACCGCATGAACGTGCTCAAGGACCGGGCGGGGCGTTGTCTCCCTCGTGAGGTCTGCTGTTGCTCCTTTGCGTCGATGTGTGACTCTTGGGGGACTTGTTCCCTAAAGAGTTTGTCTGTAAGTGTTCTGCATGAGGGTGCGCTGTCGGATCCGGAATCCGTCGGGCGATGCTGTCTCTCAGTGTCAATCTGAAGTTAACCCACTACAAAAGGAATCGATGTGTAATCCGCCACAAAGAAGGAACCAAATTGTAATCCGCCACAGACGGGATAAGTTTGTAATTCGATTCGTTGATGTAAGCGAAAACAGCATTTACGATGCATACTCCAGGACCGGGAGTGGTACCGTCCTGTGGCGCCCATGGTCGCTGATGAGGCGATGGGACAGTTCCTCAATCGCACGGTGAAGTCGCCCTACATGACCATGGCGCCGAGGGTCGCCGACGGCATCAAGGAGAGGTTTCCGGCGGTGGTGCACTTGGACGGGACTGCAAGGCACCAGTCCGTGGGCCCGAATGACGAGCCTTTCATTTGAAGGGCTTCGCCTTCTGCCGCCGACCCCCCTCTGATTACATGCTTATTTGCGTTGGTTGGGTTGGATGTTTGGTTGATCAGATGTTTGGCCCGTGCATCAGGCCGTTGCATTTTGTCACCACGTGCGCTTGGCGTTTTCGATCGGTTTCGGGCGCCAGGACCCTAACAGGTCGATCCAGCCCCAACAAATGATGCAGAAATTTGGGGTTTAGGGCTCTCTGGCCGTAATTGTTCGCGTTTTTTTTTTTTTTTTTTTTTTTTTTGTCCGCGTGTCTGATCTCGGGGGGTTGGCAGGTTGGCAAAGCGGCCCGTTAGCAAGTTGGCATCTCAGATGTCAAGGTGATACTTTCGCCTTGACATGCAATGCTGTGAGCGGCTTCGTTGCATCTATGGGATTTGCTAATTGAACTGCTCAGCTACTAGACTGCAGCCAGGATCTCACATCCGAATGCCCCCCTGAATCAGGGCAGGTGGATTCATGCGTTATTGTTAGCGGTGGCACAGTGGACTGGGCTTGCTGTGCTCATCAACACCAGCTTCAACTCCAAGGGCGCCCCCATCTGCAACACCGTCAAGGAAAGCTTGCAGATGCTGGACGAGCTGCCTGAGCTGGACTTCGTGCTCATCGAGGACTGGCTGTTTCACGCACCGCCGCGGGAAGCTCGAGCGTGAGCCCAGGTATCGTTTGTTGCGAGCTGTGCCTGAGCTCCAGGTCTGGTTGCTGTTGAAGCTCTGCAGCGGGCAGTTCGTTCCCCTTTCCGTCTTCTCCATCATGCTCCTGCCGCTCCTCCTACCTCGCTCTCGTTGCCACCTCAGTCGCCCTGTCGCTCCTGTCTCGTGATTACTGATTCTCCTCCGTCCTCTTCGTCCGCCTCGTCCTCGTCCATCTCGGCCGCCTCATACTTACTCTTCCCTTGTTCGCCCTGTCCGTCTCGTTGCGAGCGCGCGTCGTCATCCTCGTGCTCGCGCATGCGTTCCGCACCGCAGTGTGCAGAGGCGCTGATTGTCGCCCACTTCTCGCTGAAGAAAATAATATCATATCTCCCTCTTACCTTCCTCCGTGCCTTTAACGCACCCTGGTACGGACTTTACCTCCATCGCACGTTTGGCGCAACTCCCACCATTGTCTCGCCATACTTACAGTGAATCAGTGAAAGGAGGAGGAGGGTGAGGAGGAGGAGGAGGAGGAGGAGGAGGAGGAGGAGGAGGAGGAGGGGAGGAGGAGGAGGAGGAGGAGGAGGAGGAGGAGGAGTTTTAAGGATGGGGAGGAGTAGAGAACCTTCTAAGAAGGGGAGGACGGAGGATGATGAGGAGGAGACCGTTTCGCCGACGGGATGAACAGCCGGAAGTTTCATTGCATGTGCTTTGGCTGCAGGTCAACACATCGGCATTCGTATGTCCCGAACTGTATTCGCGAATGCGACGTAGGTAGAGGCAACGACAGCCGCATGCCACGAACTAGGTTCGCGAGGTCGATGTAGCAGGACAGAGGAGAGAACGCCCGCATGAGCCGAACTAAGTTCGCAAATGCGATTTTGTGAATCAACAGTTGAGGGGCTGGTACCATGAACCATGTTCGCGGAGCAGCAGGCATTCGGCGTTCAGCACGCCATTTGTCTGTCCGTGCTCCTCGATTTGTCTGCTTTCTTCGTTCCTTTGAAGAAGCGTTTTCTCTCTATAACCTCGCCCCCCCTCATAAGCCCAACAATTGTGAAAACATTGGTTTTGAATTCCTTCCAGAATCTCATCAACATTCTACTTTGGATTCCAAACACGAGGTCATATCTGCATAAGTACTAACGCGCCTCAAAGCAGAAATCGTTCTAATGGTCGTTGCGAGATTTCTTACTGGGTAGGTAGAGTGGCCACGGAGCGCCCTCGGTGCACCATTCGTGCAAAGGACCACGGGACAACCATTGGACAACTGGCGGGGAACACGTCGCTACAATAACGGCGCTCCCAATGGGCAACGTAACGGGTGAACATTTTTCGAGCGACTAGGGTCAACCATGAAAAGACGCATCGGGACACCGTCGGGACACCGTCGGGGCACCGTCGGGACACTCATCGGGACACCGTCGGGACGCCGTCGGGACGCCATCGGAACACAGCCGAACAGCGCCCGCCTCGTATGTGAGATTTTGGCTCAAATCATCGGCCTCCTTGTTGCATGACCTTTTTTCCCCCCAGTCTAGACCAGACTCGTCGGAGACAGATGACGGATGGACTGCGCAAGCCTTTGGGCTGCAGAGGCTTGCTCTGCGTCCGAAACCGATCCTGAGGCGCCCGCCGCAGAGGACCCATTGGCTCCCGAGGCTGGTCCAGACGGGCCTCCAGGAGCGGCGGCTGCAGCGCCTCCAGAGGCCGCCGCGCCCGACGGCGCCGAGGCGCCGCCAGCTGAGGACTTATGGGCTGCCGAGGCCGATGATGCGATGGACATCGATTGTGCCGTGCAGGGCCGCAGATTCAGAAAAGTATTCAAGACCGTGCTGCGGGAGACGTTGGCTCCTCAGTTGCCGCCGCGCCTTCGAGACGTCATTCCAGTTGAGGCTGCCCCTCCACTTGAGGATGCACCGGCAGTTGAGGATGCCATCCCAGTGGGTGCCTTTCCAGTTGAAGAAGGTGCCCCTCCAGTTGTCGAGGCTGCCCTTCCAGTTGGGGATGCCCCTCCAGTTGAGATTGCCCTCGCACCCGCTGCAGTTGAAGATGCCCCTCCAGTTGGACTTGCCATTGCAGCTTTGCCTGAGAATGTGACGCGCGCTGGAAAGGTCCTCGAAGTTTCAATTTCATGTTTTGGGACGTTCTGTGGCATCTTGAACTCGTCAGGGGAGAGGTGCCAAACATTACGCTCCAGTAGTCCGTGTTGTTGACCACTTGCTTGCGGAAGAGAATGCCCTCTTGACCTGCAAATATCTTCGCGGGCGCGCCAAGCGAAATGGCGCAAAGAGAGGTGTTTTCGCGTCGAGGTCCATGCTTGCTGCGTCCACAACATGGATTGCGTATCTTCACGCAATGAGGTCGTCCATCCGTGCAATTGCCGACGAAATGCAGGCCAAATCTGGGGTGTTGAGAACCTTCTACGTTTTCCACCGAGAGGACGAAACTCCTTTCAACGTGACGGTTTCAGATGTGGATTCATTGTATGGCCTTCCAGCTGTCATTGCTGACCAGCTGAAATTTCATTTTGAGGATGGTGCCGATGGTGCTTCAGGTGTTGCGAAGATATTGCGTAGTGAGCTCATAGTAGCAGTTACTGCGAGTGTCGGTGGAGCGTGGAAGATGTTCAGCTGGAAGGTGCCTTGTCCTGTCCAGAGCCTTGGCCGCACAACGGAGGAAGTGTACTACCAAGACGCAGCGATGCGACACGAAATGCTTGGCGTGCAGTCGCTCGCAGCCCAGTTCCAGCGACGGCACCACTTTCATTGCACTGATCGTGAAGGTGCCCTGGCCAAGGCTCGACGTGCGACGGTCCACTCGGCCAGGCAGCAATACGAGAAGTTCGCCGACACGATCACTCCATGTGGTGTTCACATCAAGGACACGTGCCGCGAGCAGTCTTTCCTCAGAGAAGAGTCTGTTTCCAACCTCATTTATAAGTGCGTGCAGTCGCTGTCCTTCAGCAACCACAGGAGGGAGTTCAAGGCTGCTGTGAGGTGCGTCTTGTGGCAGCTTCCCAGGGATGACACGCGGCCGCTGTTGTTGGCCAGGTCTTCGAACTTAGCCCGGGTTAAGTTTATCCTCCCAGATGCTCCTGGGAACGACGTGCGGAAGGCTGAAATCTTTATTAATTTCCCAGGGGCTTGGGGTAAAGGCCATCTACGTTGGCGCGTGTGGGGCGCAGAGAGCGAGGAGGAGACTTTATCACGATTGGTCGGGCCTGCCACTCGTGCGCTGATCGGCGCAGGTCCAGGCGGATTCCCTGGGCGCAGCTGGGCCAAATCCGAACAGGCGCCTTGCTGGATAGCGCTCTTGTCGATGCTCGGGGTGTTCGAGGGCGCGTGCCGAGTCTTCTGCGTTAAGATCGGAGGTGCAGCTGGTGTACTTCCACTGGCTGACTATGCCCAGCCCGACGCCGGTGGTCGCGACGAGTTGCCCCCCCTTGGCGATGAGCTCGTCGTGGCTGGCGCAGGTGGCGGCGATGGCGACATTCCAGATCCTTTTGGCGCGGCCGCTGGTCCAATACCCGGGGGGGGGCTGAACGCGGACAGGCTGTGCCCGAACGCCTTGGCGATGAGCAGCGGCACAGCGCCCGAGAACGTGCAGAGACACAGAGGAAGGATCAGCACAGGTTCAGAGTCGCAGTCCTGGCATGGGTCGGGCAGGGCACTGTGTTTCTAGATTGCTTCGCGTTTGCAGTTTTGCAGTTCCCTCGTGTGAAAGCAATGGCGTCTAGTCTATGGATCTCTGGGCGGGAGTTCGACAGGGCGCGGCGGCGGGGATCGGCGCGAAGATCGCGCGGGCACCGTGCAGCTTCCGATGGTGCGCCTGGTTTTCAGGGAGCTGGAGGTCGCGACTCGGGCGGTCCAGGCCGACAGTGCCGACTCGTTGTGTCTTATGATTGCACGGTCGAGCGTGACTTCTCGCGGGCAATTTCCGATTTGCGGGCGCCGGAGCCGCGGGGCCCTTTGCCGATGCAGCATCGGAGCTTGGCCAGTCGCAACCGCATTTTTATTATGTTGTCCAGAGCTGGCGCCCTCAATCATAAGTGCATCGACGCCAGGCGGAATTATTCATACAGAGGTGTTGCCATTGTGACGTGCTCAGAACTTGCCGCAGAGATCGGCGCTGACGCATCGCGCCCGAGACGGCTGGATCGGGGAACGAGGTCATGGCTGGAGTTCTGGAATGGCGACGTGTCTTCAGAGGAGGCTCGCTTGGATATGCCGCCGATCGCGATCCTTGGGCGAGATGAAGCAGTCGGCGTCGAGTGGGGGCGCCAGCGGATCCGCCGATTCGCGGTGTCGAGGGGCATCCAGGCGAAGTCCAGTGACGTAGTCGGGCTCAACGTTCTGTGGGTGTTCGACGTCTTGCAGCTGGGGCGGCGTAGCTGGTGGGAGGGCCCTGCGCCGAGAGCTGGAGTCGGAGGCGCCGGCCAGGAGCAGGGGCAGGGGGAGGGCACGACGGGGCGGAAGCGGAAGCACTCTGCTTGGAATGTATTTCGGGCACAGGACGGCGGCGCATCGGGATTTCAATGTAAGTTCGGGCGTTGGCACGTGCGCTGCCAGAGTGACTCGCGCGCGTGCTCGGCGACAAATGCCACGTTGTTACATGCGTTCGTTGGTTGATGGATGTCGCGTCTGCTGTGGGGTCGGGGGTCAAACGGCGCCCTCGACCTCGAGGGTCGGTCGATGTTGCCCATGGGGCGCCGATTGATCGCCCCGGCGCCGTTGCCGGGCGGCGCCGTGAAGATAGCGAAAGCACGTGGCAGCGTGGCAAGTAGCGATGTCGTTGGGGGCGCGCGCGGGGGCTGCGCCTCTCGAGCGAGCACCTTGC